TTTGCTGCTTGGATCTGAAACAGAATGGGCTGAGGTGAGTTTCATATCTTGGATATTCTGAGTCATGAGTTTCATGGCTTACTTTGTTTTGTCTTGTCTTGTGTAGACTTCTTGCAACGCTTGGCTGCGGTCTCATCCCCTAGGGGGCTATTCTGACATTTTCTTCGATGCTGATTCTAACGTAAGAAAGTACCTCCCTCCTACGAGACGGAGTGGTGATTGCGCCGGGAGAGTCCCCATGGGACGGCACATCCCCCTCCAAATTCAGAGAGGGACTTTGTCAAGTTAGAGCGGCAACCGACCTTCACTTTTATGTAAAACATATTGCTCAATTCCTTTACTCAACCCGTCCAACCAAAATTTGACAGTCACTGACCATCGGTTCCCGAGGCTCGCCACCCCTACTCGGGAAGGATGCTTCCGGTTACCGTTACACAACACTTGACTGGACATTGAGAATGAAAATGGAGGGGTACTTTTGCGGGTCGTAATGGCAGCAGAAGTAGCTGTATGCAAAGCTCGTTGGGTCGCTGGCACCCGTAAAAGGCCTTTGGTTTACTCGATGTCGGGTGGCAGAAGTCACGATTCTGTCATTTCTTGCTCTTTACCAGTGGTTTGGCTCTCTGCCCGGAAGTCGACATCGGATCCAATGTCAGTGGTTGACAGGTGATTATAACTGACTTCGTTTCCTCTTACCTACTCCAAAATGCCTTTGTCGGAGGAGAGGGCAACGAGTTCCCAAAGCAGTGGGCACCAGTACTTCAGCTTTAAACCGCCTCACATCACTCTTTGGGAAAGACTATATAACTGCCGGGCTAGCTTGACAAGGCTGATTGGTGCCATCCCTCATCCCTCATATCATTATATCTTACCATCTACACATTAGTTCAGCATAGGAAAAAGCACAGAAATGGCAGTCTATAAATTGTTCTTTACTGTGATCAGCTTACTAGCCCTCAGTTCTCTATCCCTCGGCCAGAACCCCGATCATGAGTGCTTTCTTCAAGGGATCGTACAGTACGGTGAATGTGCGCAGTGAGTCTCTTTCAGATTTTACCCTTCCTTCGACTTCATTGTTACCCATTATTGCCATGTTTGCTGAACTGCAAGCATGTTGATTATCCTCGGTCGGTTTATTGCAAAAAATTAATTGGAATCAGGGCTTTGGGGAATATGAAATTTGCGGCTGATCTCACAGTGACTGCGGGTGAAACACAGATATTAGTGCCCTCTGGAGGATGCCTTGTGAGTACATAGGGGGGGCCTTGTATTTTGTTTTACATTTATCCAGCCCTATGTAAAAGAATTTCCCATCATAAGTGTTGAGGATGATCTTATATTTCCATCAGCTTAATGTCACCTCTAACAATTCAGGGTCAGTAAATCTCGCTTTTTCTGGTTTATCAACCAAACATTTAGTGATACATGTATTGATTCATACTCAAACTTCCCCACTGCATATCAGCGCTACCCCAAGGCAAGTGATCAATGATGCCATGATAGCAATTTTTATATCCATTACAGGCTATCATAATGAAAAAGGCCTCTTTGTAGTTGACACAACAGAATCAGCATACCTTCCAATTCGAGCTTACACGATACACATTGCACACTTCAAGTGCTGAGAGCGACGCGGAAAAGTGTCATTTTATTTGACTCGTGTTCTCTACCCAACCAATGCCATGCAAACTGAGGCCTGCTTTTGATGTTGATTTGCAGCCGACCTTCACTATTACACTAGTGTTGCGAAGTTTTAGAGGACTGTTTGGGTGACTTCTTTTTTGACCTTTTTTGACCTGAAATCGTTTGCTCTACCCTAACAGACAAACTTTGTGAACACCGGTTCTCGGGAGGCATGCATCCGGTTACCGGTACATATAACTTGGGTAAACATTGAGAAGGAAAATGAAGGGATATTATTGTGGGTCGTTATAGCGGCAGAAGGAGCTGGGCAAAAAGCTCTCATGTGTTGCTTTCGACTACAGTTGCGACTCGCTGCTTGGAAGTCGGAACCGAGATCGATTGCACCGCATTTGAGCGGTGATTATAACTGAGATAGTTTGCTCTTCCCCACTCTGAAAGGCATTTCATGGTGACGAACTCCTGGAAAATTGAGCACCAGTGCTTGAGTTCTATAACCTCCTCCAATCATTCCTTGAGAAGGACTATTCAGCTGCCTGGCTTACTTGACGACACCGATTGATTCCATCCCGCATCCCGTCCTCACTATACTTTATACCCTCCCTCCCCATTGATTGACCACACAAACAACTACAGAAATGAGTGCCTATAAATTCTTCTCCATTGTGATCAGCTTACTAGCCTACAGCTCCTCATGCCTTGGACAAAATGCCAATCCTTGCTTTCCTAATGGACAAGTGAACGAGGGTGATTGTGACCGGTGAGCCTCTCTGAGATAATCCCCATCTTTTCATTCTTGTAACAAAATATCATCATATTAGCTTAGCTAAATGTTTCTCTCCATGCTCTATTGGTTTATCATGAATATTTGTTTGAAACAGGGCCTTTGCACTTATGAATTTTACAACTGACCACACAGTTCTCTCCGGTGAAAAGAAAATCTCCACTGCCTTTGGAGGATGTCTGGTAAGTATCCAGCTTTTGTTTTGTTTTGCATTTATCGACTAATCTTACAGGTATTTGAAATTGTGCTTCTTTTTTTATCAGCTTGAAGTAATCTCTAAAAATAAAGGGTGAGTAGATCTCACTTTGTTGAATTTATCACCTTATAATTTGGTTTCTTATTGACATTTCCCAACCAAATATCAGCACTATCCCAAGGCTTGATATTTTTGGTGCCATTTTAGATATTGAAGATAGATGTACTCCAGCTTTGGTATGCACTTTCATTACTTGATCTGGTTGATGTGGCTTTCCAATTGTCTGCCAGTTTTTCAAACAATGCTTTTAGGTTGGAACCCTACCATATCAAAGATTCATTATGACCATCAGTCAAATTCAACCTGATACACCTGTATTTGGTAGCAACACAATATTTGATCAACCTTCCTGCAACATCAAAAGTCCATTTTCACCAGGAAATGTCTCACCACCAGATTGTTTGAAGTGTGTTGCTTATCTTTTGAAATCAAAACAAACACATGGATGCTTGAATTAAATCTTACATTTATTTTGTATGAAAAAATAGAGCCATTGATAGCATCCGTATAAATAAAGCAAGCCCTCAAAAGCTTTTGAAACAATCAGCTGGAGAAATTAGTGCTTCATTCAAAACATGCTTTGTGAGTCAATATTCCCAAATATTTTCTGCCAAATTGACTAAATTGATTTCCAACTGGTATACAAAATCAAAACATGTTCATTCCAATAGGTTTACATCAAATCATCTAATCAATTAGACATTACCCTGTAAGCTTTTAAAGAATTGGTCTCAAATCAATATGAAATTGGCACTGAAATTATGTATCCCACTATTTCTATGATCAAGAAATCAGGATAAATTAAAAAGATGAGCTCACTAATAACTGGTAAATGTAATCAACAGGTAAGTAAAATATTGACTTGGATAAGTAGATAAATAACAATTGAAATTTTATGGTGCCTACAGTCTGGTAGTGTGGTCAAACAATTTGGTTCCTTTGGACTGAATTCAAGGACACAAATGCAGATTCTTTTCAATGGAAAACGTTCTTGAAAACTTCTGGATTACTATTAGTGGTATTTAAAGTTGGTCCAAAAATGTATAAACATCAGCTCATAAGGCTCCATTTGGCTAGCCGTAAGATTTAATTTGGAGGCATGGTTTGGTGCAAGTTTGTGCAAAAATTTCCTATTGTTTTATATCACACGGTCCAAGTCTGTGCCAAACCTTAGCCAAATCCCATATCATGATTTGCAGCCAAATGGGGCCAAAATAATTTTTCTAACATAATTGCTTACATATAAATCCATGACTTGATTCATTTATGAAGAGAAATTTTATTTCTGAATGTGTTTATGGTCTAACTTTGAATACCCCTATTTGCATATATTGACACTGCTACACGGAACTGCTTATTTTCTCAAGAATAGATAATGATATATAAGATCTTTTGTGCATAGATGAACTAGAAACTTTGAAAGCCTCTATTAGTCTCAACAGTTTGTAAAAGGAAAATGATATTTTGATCACATACTTAGTTTTTTTTTCACATGTGTAATAGTATGTATGTTTGATTTGCCCAAAATAATTTCTCAAATCTGCGCACCCAGTTGCAGTGACCACTGAGGGAAGCCTAGCACATAGCAAACTAAGCACACCTTCCAAGGCTAGCATACATCATACGTACTGCAGATACAGAGAGCGATGGGAAAAGATTTCATTTCCTTTGAACTGTTCCCTCGCCAGACCAACCTTGGACTCTGTTTTTTCGATGGAGATTTCCAGCCAACATTCAATTTTATATGGTGTTGCGAAGTTTTCATAGCATTGCTTGGAAGACTTCTGTTTTTGACCTCTATCACTTTCAATCTTTACCTCCACCCGAAGAAACAAACCGAAGAAAACCGTGACAGAAGACACCAGTTCCCGTGGCTCACCGATGCATCCGATTGCCGATACACAGCACTTGGGTATACCTTGAGAAGCGAAGTGAAGTGAACCCATTATGGGTCGTTATGGTAGCAGAAGGGGCAGCACAAAAAGCTCGTTTGCCGGCTTGCACCCAAAAAAAAGGGCTTTGTTTGATCGATGTCGGGTGCCGGCGCCCACAATTATTTTACTTCTTGGGTTCTACTCAAGCTTTGACTCGCTACTTAGAACTCGAAATCGAGTCCAATTGCATCGCAGTTGAGCGGGGATTATAACTGAATTACATTTTGCTCTTCTCCACTCTAAAAGGCTTTGATCGGAGGACATGGCAACAAACTTATAAAACATTGAGCACCACTAGTGTTTAGGAGTTGACCTCCTCGAATAGTTCCTTGAGAAAAACTAGTTAGATGTGCTTACTTGACAACGCTGATTGATTCTATCCCTTATCCCACATCCGATTACATCGCAAAATTTTCGAATTTAGGAATCATTGGAACAATCGCAGAAATGACTGCCTATAAATTCTTCCTCACTGTGATCAGCTTACTAGCCTACATCTCTCTGTGCCGAGGACAGCGGTGCTTTCCTAAGGGGAAAACGTCCCAGATAGCTTGTTTTGAGTGAGCCTCTTGAAGATTATCTCCTTCTTTTGATTCCATTGTGACTAATCTTCATCAGATATATTAGCTCAACTATAAGCATCTTGTTTATCCCCTATTGGTTCATCATGAAATTTTCTTTGAATCAGGGCCTGGGCAAATATTAACACTACAGATGATAACACAATTCTTGCGGGTGAAACAAAAGTCTATTCTTCCTCTAAATCTTGCCTTGTAAGCAGCCAGGTTGTTGTTTATGTGTTGTTTCACATTGATCTAATCTTACTAGTATTTGAGATTATGCTAAATCTGATCTTGTTTTTCCATCAGGTTGAAGTCATCTCCAAAAATACAGGGTCAGTAAAGCTCACTTTCTTTACTTTATCACCTTATAATTCAGTGGTACTGTATTGATTCATGTTGAAGTTTTCCCACTAAATATCAGTCCAACACAAAGGTCTGACATGTATGATGCCATGGTAGAGGTTGAAAATAAATGTAGCCCAGCTATGGTTTGCACTTTCATTACTTGAATTAGATGATTTATTCTTCTACCTGTCTGACAATATTTGGGATCAATGCTTTTAGGTTGGAACCCTCTCATATCCACACTTTGATATCTCTCTCACTCAAGTTCTGCCTAATACACCTATATTTGGTAGAAACATAAAACTTGATCAACCTTCCTGCAACATCAAAAGTCCATTTTCATCAGGAAAGATCTCACCCCCTGATTGTTCAAAGTTGGTTGTTTATTATTTGATATTTTAAACAAATTGCATGGATTCTTGAATCAATTCTGACATTTATTTCTTGTGAAACAACAGAGCCATTGATACCATTCAGATAAACAGCAAAAGCCCTCAAAAGATTCTATCTCAATCAAAAGGAGAGATCCGTGCTTCATTCAAAACATGTTTTGTAAGTAAATATTCTGCAACTATTAAATTGAAAATATTATATTCCAAGTGGATTGAGTTAATCATTGCCATCTGTTATACAAAATGACAACATGTTCATCCCAATAGGTTTTTATCAAATCATCCAATCAATTAGACATTACCATGTGAATCTTTTTGAAGAATTGTGTTTTAAATCAATATGAATTCACACAGGTGACACTGAATTTGTGTATCTTTCCATTCCTTGTGATACAGGAATCATGATCAATTGAAAAAGATGAGCTCACTAATAACAGGCAAATGTAAGGAACAGGTCAGTATGATATCTAGATATGTTTGCGTAGATAAATATGGACTGACAACTGATGATGTTGACAGACTGGTAGTGTGGTAAAGCAATTCGGCTCCTTTGGACTGAATTCAAGAACAGAAATGCAGATTTATTTCCACGGAAAACCTGTTTGAGCTGTTTTGGCTCAACATTCAACAAAAACATTTGATACATATATCTATCTGTTTTCCTACATCAAACTTCTCATTTATTTTTTTTCTTTGGCATGATCCCAACTTTGAAAGCCTCTATTTACTGTGAACAACAGATGTATTATTTTTCAGAACAAGCACTTTTGAGATTTTGGCATGAAGTTTGAAGGTGGAGTGGCCAGTTGCATTGGGAAGACTGCATGGCACAGGATTGCAATTGATTGATTGTGAAATTGACTCCCCAGACTTCCTGTTCTTTATAGATTGTTCATAGTATGTAACAATTTAGTTTATTTCTTGGACTTGTGTTGTGTATTCATCTGCATCCTATTTTCATGTATTGCCTATTGTCATGCTGTATACCAATGTATTTTCTAGTCTGAACTGTTTTCCTAGTTGTTGTTTCTCAAGTAAATGCAATTTGGATTGTGTTTTGGAATGATCATAATTGGAGGACTTCCCGTTGCCATTTAGAGTACTTTTTAAGCCCTCCCCCCCCAGTCCTAAATTAACACCCCAATCATAATTCTAACCAGCTCACATGAGAGCTATCATCACAAGACTTCTGAAAAAACAATTTTCTATACCAAAAATTAAGATCTAGGGGGTGTAAATTCAATTCTGGGAGGGTTGTAAACTGGCAAACTGCGATGGGAAGTCCTCCATTATGACTTCCTGTTGCAATCTGCAACCCTCCCAGAAGTCAATTTACGCCCCTCAAATCTATTTTTTTTTTCAAGGACAACCAATTTTTCTTGAACCTGATTGATCAAAGTTATGGACTTGGTGCATGAACAACGCCTTCCATTTCTGGCCATCAAGAACATCCATGGCTATCAATCATATTGGTCATCAATCGTACAAATACATGTGTGGTTTTGATCCCATAAGTTTTGCCTTTCATGATGACAAAGGCCAGCAAAGGCCTCCTCTCTTCTGATGCTCTTTCTTGCCCGCACATGAGAACAAAATCTGCAGCGTCTCCGATGTATGACGTCTTTTCTTGACAAAATGACGTCATTTCCTGGAGAAATGACTGAAAAAAAAAATTGCATTGAAGGCTTTCTCTTCTCTCGAAAGATCTTTCTCAGGTTTTCGGTAGAATTCTCTCTGAACCCTATGTATGATCACCGCATACAATTCGTCACCTGCAACTGCAGTCACACTCCGCATTCCTCTCTCTTCAGCTTGCGGCGTGCCTCTTGACCGCTCTCCCACCGGCCCATACATATGGCCAGCTGATATGGTATTTATGTTGTAGAATGTAGCCCCAATCGTCTGGGTGATGGACTCATGACCGTCGGGGTTACATTCTAACGATACCCTTTGGAAAAGTTTGAATCGCTTTCCACCTCGTTTGCTATCTCGAAGAATCGTGCTACTCGGGCCTTGCGATTGTACACGTCCTTAAACGAGTCGATCATCTTCTTCACCTTCAACAAAATAATAACAGACGGACGGAAGGACGCCGGTGAGTCGCCATAACCTTTTGTATGTATGTAAAAGATGAAAATCTTGAAATCTTAATTATCCCTTATAATAACGTTGTTGGTTTGACAAACTCAAAAAAAAAACAGTACAACACCTTCGCCGTCCTCAACTGGAAGTAACAATACTCTTCGCCACATCGGCGCGGGCCATCGAACCATCCACACCGATCTGCGAATATATCTACTCTAGGGCTTCCTAGCATGCGTTTTTGCTATCGGACGGGGAATGGGGTAGCCTTGTTGTAAGCTACATAAAAATCGGTAAGACTTGTCCTCATGAGACACATTTGAGATCTCCCTGAAGTTGAGGGTGAGCCCTTGGGGGTTGACGCCTATCGCATCTTGCAGTCAGCTCTTGTCGTCTCAAAAATAATCCTTGTCTATCCCCATCCACTCCATCTTCCAGCTAAAATTATTAGTATCTCCCCAGATCTCCCCTGGTGGTCCATCAGCCCTCTGATAGTCAGTACATGGTGAGTCTGTTAATCGATGATGCACCACTACCATCAACACCGATCTATAACTTCCCTTCTCTCTCTCTCTCTCTCTCTCTCTCTCTCTCTTGGACTGATGTATAGGAAAAGCTACTGCTTTGTGTCTCTGATCTCGCCAACCATCCATCTAACCCAAAAGGACACAAAAGTAATCATCATCTTACCCCAACTCATCAAACAAATAGATTCTCCTGTCAACTCTCATCATGTCTTCCTTGTCGTCAATCTTATAAATTCAAACCTTTTCCTGTCTCCTCGGGTTCCTTTTTGTCCTCCCCACCCCACTCCTATAAGCTCTCGACATAGTTTTTACCAATCATCATTCCCAAAAAAAAGAAGTCTCATTGATAAATCATCGATCGTCGGGCTCTACCCCACTCCTCCTCTTCCCGCTCCTGTCCACCTTCCTTCCTTTTTTACAACAAAGACTGCATTCATAAACTGCCAATCCTTTTAAAAAACATAATCATTACTCCTCATATACCCAACTATCCCTTCTATCCTTGATCAAACTAATCATCCTCCTTCTTTTGGTTTGTTGGTGATTCTCTTTTTTACATACTCGAGTTCACGTCGGCCAGCTAGATGCGCATGTGAAAATAACCCGAGGCATCCTTTTCTAAAGACTCATCTTTATACTTTCGCTACTGTGTAGTTCCCCCCCATTCCTTCGAAAAAAAAAAACAACAATCGGTATTTTTGACCTTCATTCCTGTGTGATCCTCCTCTTTCTTTCTTTTTTCCCGAAGTTTAAACAAACAGAAAAGAACCTCCCCCAACGTCGACATCGACTTCTCATCTCATTTCCAAAGCTTGATCTTCGAATCCTTTTAGTTTTTTTTTCACTCCTTTTTTCAGCCCCTTTTATCACCCCCACTCCCCACTTGCCCCCCTGTGTCGGTGTTGATCAACAAGAATCTAAAAGGCCCAGAAGAAGATTGATAAAGAAAGGAAGAAAAAAAACCCGCTTTTTTCGAGATTTGTCTGTATGTATTTCTCCTTTCTTGGCTTTGTACAAAAAAAGAATTGCCCCTTCCCCTTTTTTACTTACTCAAAAAGAAAGAACAAACACAAGTTTACTGATTACATTGAATTTCATGATCACTCTTCTCTCTTTCTGTTTTTTTCTGCAGGAAAAAAAAACAAATCAAATCAAACCACTCGAAGCATAGCTGACAGCCGGACGACAGAGACTCCAAAATAAATTGAACAATCAATACGTAGAAGAGAGAGAGAGAGAGAGAAGATGGAGTCTGAAAATGCGTACTCTTTACTCCACTTGCCAAGGACTGCAAGTTCAGATGAAATCTTATTTGCCTATCGTAGGGAGGTACGAAGTCGCTCCTTCTCTGATCAACTCCCTTTTTTCGTCCAGTCCATTATAGAAGGAGCAAAAGAAAAGAGAAGACTCTTCCAGTTGATGATGGGAAACTGACTGATTTGGCGTAATTTGTATTTTTTTTTTCTGATTCATACAGTCCTTGAAGTATCATCCGCGCAGGTTTAATCCAGGAGATCGGTTTATTGAGATTCATTTTAAGAAGCTAGCAGATGCTTATGAGACCTTGATTGATCGTGAGTGATTATTATGTTTCTCTTTATAAGAAGTGGTTCTGACACCCCATCCATCATGAACAGCTCAAAAGAGGTTGGAGTATGATAAGAAGTTGAACTTGAAGGACATCAACAGACTCAACAAGCCCAAGAATCCGGATAGCTCGAGATTATTTGATGCTCATGAACAGTACGAACGACATCGGAGACACTCGACTTCCTTAGTAGCAGCCCCAACCAGACCAGCCTCTGCTGCTGCCGGTGGTCCATCCCAGTATCATCGTCAGCTGGAGAAGAACCCGGCACTGAGCAGAACTCATCCGATCCCCACAAGATCATCAACACAGTCAAGCAGCCGATTGCCCACTCAAGCCGATCAACCCATGAGAGCCAGAAGGAGCTCGATCAGCGGACTGGCTCCGATCCCATCCAACCTCAACCAATCTCCATCTGTTGCTCATCGACTGCTCAACAGACAAACTCAAGCATCCTCAACAACACCCTTAATCCAACCCAAACCATTCAATCCTTCCAACTCCTCCTTCCAACCGCCTATTCGAGCCGGCTCGTGCGGTCCTACCTTACAATCATCATCATCAGCAGCAGCAGCAGCAGCAGCAAGACTCAACAACAGATCAAGTCCTAATAGTAGTAGACTCGAGGAATCGTTACTCTCGATGAGATTGAATCAGTTCCCCAAACCATCATCGTCTCAAAACAGTCATCCATCAACTTCCAAAGAAACTACGAGGGTCGATCGCCAATCGATCATCAACGAGCTCAACCAACGTGCCCGCTCGAATTCGATCAGTCACTCCTCCAAGCCACTCTATTCGATCTCGAATCATCATCATCATCAAGCCGGATCTGGCTCATCCAGTGCCTCATCCTCCACCATCTCGCCCTCCTCCTCTCTTTCCTCCTCCTTCTCGCCCCGCCAACCCCCCAAATTCCCGCACGATCCTTCTTCTTCTTCTTCAGCCGCCCCGCTCTCGCGTAAAAACTTCCATCAGATGATCGACCCCGTCGTCCCTTTTCATCCGCCGCATTCTCTCTCTGCAGCGGCCCATAATCGCTCTGATTATGGACATCTCAATGACGTCGAATATCAGCCCCTCATCGTCAATCCTCCTCCTCACAAACGCGCCCCTCATCCTCGCATGTGTAAGCTCTCTGTCTCTCTCTTTTTTCGTTATTCATCACTAAATCCTTACCTCGACCCTCTTCCTCCTACATTTTTTACCACAGCTTCATCGTCGTCCTCTACGTCTACGCCACATAACTATGCATACAACTCCGGCACACCCTCATCATCAGGTACCAACAATAATAAACACCCATATACCCAATATAATACCCAACACCGACCCCGCGATCATCGTTGATCTTTCCTTTCCTTCCTTTTTCTTCTTTTCTGGTAGGAGGTTTTTCCATTTTTGAGTGGTTGGTTGGTTGGTTGATGAGAACCTTGTCGTTCTTTCTTTCTTCTGTTCTCTTCTCTGGCCTTTCTTTCGTTTAATTATTCAAACAGTTGATACCAAGCTGAACAAATCTCCTTATTACTATATATATGATATCCCCTATAATACCTACTCCTTCATGATGATACCTAAATATCCTACTCACTGGCCCCGCTCACTTTACTTGATTATTTTTTTGGGGGGTAGATGTATTGCTAACCATTTCTTTTGTTTTCTTGCATTCTTTTTTTCATTCTTTCTTCAACATATGTATGTTGCTTACTTTTTTATGTTTCGCATCACTTGATCACTGCTTGTGGTCCAAAACCAAGTCGTTTTTATTGTATGTATGTACATATGTATGTACTTTTTGTTTTTGAAAATTTTTGAAATGATTATAAGGGCAGAGCCTGATTTAAATTATGATATTTAAACAGTTCCATGATGATCAACTAATGTTTACTATAATAATAGTTGTCTTCTTCTTGAGTAGTATGTATTATCATTGAAGCTTGTTCTCCTTCATGGTGGAATAACAGGCCATATTGATCACAGTTTGTCACTGAAGTACCCCAGCCAAGTACTGACCATAGTGCGCCAGAGCTAGCTATGCCACTACAAGTGAACTCAAGCCCAAATTCTCCATGTTGGGAATCTGTTTTGTAAGGAACTTCTCATCCTGTGAACTGGCCCAACCTTAACTTCCTTGCTGGGCGTCCTGTGTCGCCTAAGACGGTGTGCTTGTTTTTCAGGCGCCAAGGGACCGATGCGTCGGGGATGCCTCCCTTGCACAACAGTTCTTCCTTGATCTTGGGCTTCTTCTCAGCGCAAATCTTTCCGGAATCTTGTCCAGCAAAGCTTCAATAGGAGGGGATGGGGATTGTCAGGATGTTGAAAGTAGTTTGTACCAGGAATGACCATCTATATAAGTCGAGCCTCTCGCAGGTTGTTATACCGAGACCGGTGATGGATACCCCGAATGAGATCGATCCGTACGAAACGGCAACAGATCTCTGGTGTTGTCTTTCGGTCGTTGGGATGTTCTGAAGTCGATGTTGTTCTTCTTCGTCGCAAGGCAGCTCTGGGATGACGATGACAGAGTCAGCAAAGATGTCGGCGGTGTGTCCGAGCGCTCGTCTGACGATTCGAGAACCAGCATACATAAACCTCCCGGCCGTCAACGCAATGAAGCATCTGTCCGACGGGGGCGTCGACCGTCGGTTTCCAGCTTGGGCCTGCCCGAGCGAACTCTCCTTCTACGAACCCCAAGGGTTATCTAAGCCTCGACCTGCAACAGTCCATGGGTTCTCGCACTTCTTCCAAAAATCTCTTGCAACTCTGTCTGAAACAAAAATCATCTATTTGCTATTTCCCTACCGTCGGTTGGAAACTCTAACATTCTCTCATTCATACCCTCCAAGCACTATAACCTTCATACTTTCCTTGATTAGACATTCTTGCCCCTATCCTTTCTTTTTTCTACCCACATCTTCACATCTTTCATGATCTGTTAAGGTATGCGCTTTTGATTTGCTTGCTCGCTTGAAAAAAAAAAGGTGAAAGACAGACCAGTTCCAATATCATCATCTGATCACCAGTTGGCAATCTCACAGTGACCTTTTGGAAAAAATGGTATCGAGTTTTGTATCATTTCCGCGGGAGAATGCCCGCGGATTAGTGATCATGATTGTTTTTTTGTTTGGGATTCGATTGGTCGGATCTGCTACTACGAGTACCACGCCTCAATGGACCCTCCCCATGCGGGAAAAGAAGCTTCCCGAAAGTACTGCAACTACAACAACCCACACAACTAACAGCACTAACACAACCACCACCAGTAAGACTTTGGCTACAACTAACACCCCAAAGATCTGTGACGCCGAAGCTCCCTCTCCCGATGTCTGGAAGGCTCGCAATATCTCCGGTTTCTTGGCTAGTTATCCTAACGGCAATAGTGTCACTATCTCGGTAATTCACCCCAGAAATCTCTCTTCTCGTTCCTTGTGGAAGACGATTTGTGCTTTTTGTTTACTTGGTTGCTCTGCACGTTCGGCTTTTGATCTGCACGTGTTTGGTGTGGATCTTGATTTGTTCTAGGATTTTGCTAAACAGAACGGGGTCATGAATTATGCTTGTGGGCTTGGAGAAACGTGCGATGCGGGACAGGTAATGATATTCTTCCTTTTTCTTTCTCGTTTTTTTTTTTTGTATGTGAACACATCTTTCTAAAGAAGAAACAAAATGTGAAAATGGCCTTTTACGATTTTTTAGATCTGTGCGCCGATTCCAGGTCCAGTCTGGCACGTTTTGTATGCGGTCCAGCAGTGGCATCACATGCAGGTATCCTTGGATAAAGCCTTAAACTTTGCCGCCAATACCCTTGACAGTAACTTACCTCTTTCACCCTTTATCCACTGAATCACATCTGAGAGACTTTCGGTTCTTAAGAGCACTTCTTCTTCTTTTTTTTTTACATCTTTAGTCATTGGATCCCAACTCTCGATTGATCTGTCAGTGAAGTCCCCTTTTTTTGCCGCTCCGCTGGAGATTTGGATTGCCTTAAAAATCGGGTTTCCTCTGATTTGACTGGATCTGATTTGATTGGGGAAAAAATAGCTTCCCACCCGACAAGAAGAAATCTGATCATCTGTTCAAAGTGGCCTACATCTTGGCATTGGTTGTTGCAATCTGGGCTACTATCAGCGCCGCTGTGAGTTTTCGGATCTTGATTTCGCTTTTGACTTGCTTGATACTATTATTACTCTAATAGACTGATATTGATTATACAACACTTCCACCTGAATTTACATTAGCTATTGATCTGGTTTCCTGGAGTCGGTGTGGGTCTTGCAGCCGCAGCTGGAGCTGCTTTTGCAACAGCTCAAGCTGTCACAACCCTCCAAGCTAACAGTGCCTTTAACGGCATGCGGTCAGATGCCTTTTCTAGAGTAAGAAACCACTTTTTCTGAGCGGGTTGTTTGGTTCATAGTTATTGAATTGTTGAACAGATCAAAGAGCTGGATTTGTTGACACTGGGCTGACTAAAAAACTCTCTACTGTAGTGGGCTTCATTTATGAATGCAGTTTCACAATGGAAGGATGGGATGCAAAAGAGTCTTTCTGACGATATGAAACGTGCTCTTGGAACCGGAATCAATGATCCAGCTGGCCTTGGTGGAATGCTAGCCGATGGTAAACTGTTCACCAACACACTAGACAAGACTACTTATGACATTGAGAAGTCTTTGGAAGAAGTAGTCAAGCGTAGAATGATTAATAACATTCTCAAAGATAAAGTCAGTTTCCTTATGTTCATTGGTCAAGTTTATTTTGCACTATCATCACTATCTGAAATTCTGATTAACATTTGTTTTGAATTCAGAAAGCTTTTGTGACTGTCAACAGTGTAAGTCAAAGCCCGTCTCAAATAAAATGATCTCAAAAGGACCAAATTATTGATCAGGATGGAATTAATCTTTCAGGATGAATGCAAGCAAGGAGGCCCGGACGGAGCGTTCAAGCCGGAGGATGGATGGCTGAGTTGGTGTAAAGATGGGAAGTAAGTAATCCCACCAATTCATGCCTCATAAGGAGTTGAAAACTGACATCGGGTGTGTGCAATATAGGATGATGAACATAATCTACGCCAATGGAGACAAATCTGGAAATCAAATTTACAATGCTGGGCTGATACCCACCAAATACGGAATCACAGTGGAGTATATGACCACACAATCTGAAAATTGCCAAAAGAAATTTGGCGGTTACAGCCACGATCCTTATGCAGACAAGTGAGTCCACCCTTTTATGTTGACGACAAAGAAATGTAAGACTTTTGATGACTGGTTCCTGCTGATCCTTCACATTTCTCTTGGAAACAGAGCTTTACCAACAGACATTAATGCAGATTGCATCTTCAATCTTCCGGTTTGCTATCCTAGCTTTGATAAAGGTCAGTGCAGCCAACCCATTCCTTATCATTTGACGTTCAGGAACTGAGATTGTTGCTTCAAATTCAAATCAAACTTTGTTGATTGAAACAATTTGAATTGCAAACCCAAAAAAGATATCCGCAAAAAGAGAAGAAAACATGGTACTGTTGTGGCTTGCAGGCAGAATGCTGCGCTGCCAATATGACAAAATGAATTGGCTTATTTATAGCCCCCACTAAGTATCAAAGTTCATCCTTGTATTTCTGGTCACTCGTTATGAAGAAATTGCATTATATATAAGCTTGGTTTTTAGCTTTGAAGAAATTTTGAGTCTCTAGCACAAAGCTAATATGGGCCAGACCTATCACACTTGTGAATGATTCAAGACTGGTGCTTCACAAGATAAGGGTGGCCTGAAACAAAGTCATGACTGTTCTTGAGAGACCACTCCTGAATGCCTGAGTATCAATCATCCTTTGACACATAGCTCTTTGCTGGTTAGTGGGGTGAGAGGGATACTACAAATTCTCAATTCCTCAGCCTAAGTAACTTGAGGAGTTGTAGAAGTTGGGGTTTGATTACTTTGAGTAGGGTCTGTTGTGGATAATTCCACTCCCTTGAGACCTATCTGATAGTTGGAATGAAGATGTTAAGGAAAGATTAAAATACAATTGTAAGGAGTAATCCATTGTTTTGTAAGAAAAAAAAAAAACAACTAAGTATATACAAACTGAAAAGGTTTACACACAGTTTTTTTGTTATTGATTGTTCAATTTTCTTTTGAATCAGAGAAGATATGCGCCTGGGGCCCTGAGGACCCCTTCTATTGATTTCAATAATCAAACTCTCCAAACATTTCAGTTTGGAACAAAAAAATGTGGGGCACAAAGTGTTTTGAAAAATGCTGATGCAGGTGATTTTTACAGTGCAGGTAGCATTTTTTTTATGTTGTGCAGATTAAGTCTGTATATACATCAAAAATCCTCATGATGAATCAAATGCTCATTATAGTACATACAAGTTTTCATTAGACTTTTATCACAGATATTTTATTATCCTATTGGTTAGCTTCATGACTGTTTGAGTTCAGGTGGTGATAGACTACCTGGCACTTGGGACCATTTTTCCAAAATTACCAGTTACATAGGCCCATTTATTTCACTGATACTATTACTGCAGTGTTGGCAGACTTTTTTTTAGTCCTCAGCTGCAATAATATACTGTGTTACCCTGCTAATCTATGGGTCCTGGGACATTTACAATTGGCAGATAACAGGCAATTCCCTGCTTTTTGTGAGGCTATGCTGAGCTAAGCTATACATTATCATAGAGTGTTAAATCAACATCCTTTCATGACCCAAGCTCATCCCATGTTGGCCCCGAGCATAAAAATACCAACAAATGCCCCCGCAACATCAATTTCTTCATGTAATGAAACTGTACAGTGGGTGGACCATTATTTTTGGCTGCTTGTTTTGGATTCCAGCACTTCAAAGCACCAGATTGAAGTCACGAGACTTGGTCAATTGGTGCAAAATAGGTCTCTAAAAATGAATATGAATAATTAAAAACAAAAAACAAAGTTTCAAAATTTGTGAAAAATAAACAATAAAATTGTTTTTTTCCAAAAGCTTTGATATTCATTTTAGGGAAGTGTGAGTGCTGACAGAAAGAAAGAATGGAAACTGGGAAGAATGATTATAAATGAAAATTTTGGAAAAAATGGTAACCAGATGGCTTCAAACAACTGTTGAGTGGGTCATTTACCAGCTCACATTGCAGTAAAGCACTAGAATTTACTGTTTTGACCCCAATCTGAACAACCAACCTGGCTCAACCTTTTTTGGTTCCAATTTTTTTCATTTAGAATCATTCTTGTGATGTTCCACTCTTTCCTTCTCTCAGCACTCCCACTCCCCCAAAATCAATAACAAAGCTTTTGGAAAAAACCATTTTTATTTTTATTTTTCACAAATTTTGAAACTTTGTTTTTTGTTTTTATTTTTTTCATATTCATTCTTTGGGACCTATTATGCACCAATTCACCAAGTCTTGTGACTTGAAGTTGCTGCTTTGAAGTTGTAGAATCCAAAACAAGCAGCCAAAAATAACAGTCCACCCACTGTACATTCCAATTGGGCCTCTGCTTGATTTGGAAATTTTGTTGTAGGCAAATGTGTATACCAAATTGGTTTTTTTTTTGCAGGGATGTGCCCATAATACCAATATACACCCACTGTGCCAAAAATGGGGGTATTTGATTGACCCCTGGATAAATCCCTCCTAAACAACCACGTTGTACACTTCATTTACTAGGAGAAATTCCTGATTCCATTGTAAATTTGGGTGGGGATGATCATGGGTGATGTTGACAGTTTTGGTGTTTCAAAACCCACACACCTCAAAAAGCTGATCCAGAGGTTCAAACAGGCTCATCTGATCAGTTCAAGCTGATGTGATGTGACAAGAAGAGTTGAAAAGATGGCCTAAGAAAGCAGTATAAAATTTCATGCTATCTTCTTTACTGATAAGATGTGCCCAAAAAATAAGCCAGCCACCCAGGTCTCAATCCGATAGTCAATCATCATTATGAGGAGGTCTGAGGTGAAGTTTGTATTATTGTTGATGATCTCAAGCCTTTGTTTCATGCATCAATCAAACTGTTATACCGAAGCCCATTGTGCACTCACTTGGGTTTTACTTCATGCAAGAGGGAAGCAAACTAGTGGTGATCAAATAGTGCTTCGGTCGTTACGATGTTCTCAGTTGTGTCGTTTCCATCACAAGGGGCAAGTGTTCTCGTTCGAATGCGGATCAATCTAGCACTTGGCCTTGTCCCGAGGGCCGTTTGATCATTCGATGTCGACAGGTCATCGCCGCCAACGCGAGGAAACTCTTGGTCGAGATTTGTTTTGGGGTTGGCTTTCAACGGAGCAGTCTTCACTGTCTCATCAACACTTCTTGCAATCTAAACAGTTATATACAATGCCTTTCAAGGGCCCGCGACAGTGGGATTCTTTCCACACCTGTTGTCCTGGAATATTTTCCTCACTTGTCCCAAGTTATCTATTATCTATTACTTTATATATTGCTCATTCAGAAAGACATTCATTAAGCATTCACTCTCTTTCGCTCTATACTCGTCTCAACTGTTCTCTCGTTCGAAAGCACAATCATTTCAATTTTGCATCTTCCTCCAACCGGAGTTAGTCTATCTACCATTCTTTAACTCTTTAACTATATTAAATATTTCTGGAGCTCAACCAACCTGTTGAGCAGCTCTTAATCGGAAAAGTTCCTGGCTTTCACTTATTTATCTACTTATTTCAGGAGAAAAGACGGGGAAAACAAACTCAAGAATACCTTCTAACTACTGGGTAACCTGACAGCGAACTTGAGCAAACATGGCATGGAGTTGTGCAGCATCCCACAAAATGGCCTATCTTGTTTGTATCTTGATCATTTGTGTCCCAGGCCTTCCTTTTGTCGAATCAGCCGATTTTGGCGCTAGTCAGCCCACGCTTCCAATGAGGCAAAACCCGCTTCCCCCGACGACTAAGACTAACGCGTCTAACACGACAAGCACCCCGACCAGCATGACCAACACGACTAGCAAGACCAACAATTTCGTTTCAGTTAACACGCCATTGATTTGTAATGCGGAAGCACCCACCCCGGAAGTCTGGAAAGCTCACAACATATCTGGTTATCTAGCAAGTTATGCAAATGGGAAAAACGTGACAATTTCGGTAATTTACACCATTGAAACTCCTATTTTTTTCCTGTTAGTATCACTGACATGGTCTGTCTGCTGGCGTTATCGTGCTTTTGATTTATTGGTTAGGAATTTGCAAGGCAAAACGGCGTCTCCAATTTTATTTGTGGGATTGGAGAAACTTGTGATGCAGGACAGGTAAGGCTTTTTTTTTAAAAGTAATGCCATACTACTAAAATATGGACGGAAGAAAAACAAATTGAAATATTCTTCTCTTAAAATCTTTAACATTGCCTATATGACGCTTAGATCTGCGCTCCGATTCCTGGACCAGTTTGGCATGTTTTATACTCAGTCCAACAGTGGCATCACGTTCAGGAATCTTTCAGTAAAGGGTTAGGTTTTGCCGCCGCCACGATAAACAGTAATTTCCATTCTCCAGCATTTGATCACATCTTGAGAATCTAATATTATGTTTATTATCTAGCTGTCGCGTCACAAATCTCGATCGATCTGTAAGCCTTCTGCATCTATGGGATTTTTGGGTTCCCTCCAAATTGACCTTCATCGGATTTGATTTGGAAAAAAAAAAAAAACAGCTTCCCGCCCGAAAAAGAGAAATCTGATCACCTTTTCCAAGCCTCTTTCATTTTGGCATTGGTCGTTGCAATCTGGGCTACCGTTTCGGCGGCTGTATGTTTTTTATTCCACCTGCTTAATTTGCTGGGAGAAATTGACGATAGAACACGCACTCGACATCGTTCTAGATAATGATTTGGATTCCCGGAGTCAACACCCTAGCCTTGGGCATGGCGGCAGCAGCTGGAGCTGCAGTCTCAGCGGCTCAAACTGCCACAACCATGGAAGCTCACAGGCTTTATGAAAATATGAAATCAGATGCTTTTTCTCGAGTAAGATACCGCTCATTTTTGTATGATACAGATTGTTTGGAAAAGATTGAGACTTTCAATAATGGGAAAAAGGGCAGATGTTTGAGATCAAACATGCCGACAGAAAAAAAATTTACTAACAATAAACGAAATCTTTTCTGTAGTGGGCGGAATATACGGAAGCGATCTCACAGTGGAAAGCAGGCATGGAAAAGAGATTAGTCGATGATGTGAAACGTGCTCTCGAAAGCGGAATCAATGACCCAGCAGGCTTCGGTGGATTACTAGCGGATGGTAAACTGTTCACCAACACGTTGGACAAGAGTACTTATGACATTGAAAAATCTTTGGAAGAAGTAGTCAAACGGAGGATAATTAATACTATTCTAATTCAAAAAGTGGGTGAATTTCCATACCTGAGAAAAAGGGTTCTCCACTGACTTCAATTCCAAACATTTCCCTCATGATTGGTCCCACTTCAGAAAGCCTTTGTTACCGTCAACAGTGTATGTCAAAATTCATCTCAGATATGATGACTCGGATGAATTTCAAGGTACTAACTGTTGGTGATGCATTCTCTCAGGATGAATGCAAACAAGGAGGTCCAGATGGAGCATTCAAACCAGAGGATGGTTGGTTGAGCTGGTGCAAAGACGGAAAGTAAGTCATCTCTCAAAGATGCATAAACAGTGAATTATTCAAAAACTCATCAATTTTGAACCGTCCGATTTACAAAGAATGATGAACGTTATTTATGCGGATGGAAACAAATCAGGAAACCAAATATACAACGCAGGGATGATCCCAATGAAGTATGGGATTACAGTGGAGTATATGACCACTCAATCTGAAAATTGTCAAAAGAAATTTGGTGGTTACAGTCATGATCCTTATAAAGATGGGTATGTGTATCCCTTCACAAATGTCAAAGTGTTATTATTGAAGAACTGACTGGATAGGAACTGCATCAAATTAACTGTTTTTCAACCTTTTTTTCAAACAGACCTTTACCAACAGACATCAATGCAGATTGCATTTTCAATCTTCCAGTTTGTTATCCAAGTGTTGATAAATGTCAGTACATCATTCAAATCCTTCTGAATTACCATTCAAACTCTAGAGGTTCACTGTTGAAAGAAACTTTTTTTTTGTTGAATTGAACAACACTCTCATTGAAATTTTCCACATTGAAACAACAAATAGCAATCCGAAAAAAGAGAAGAAAAAAAGGGACTGTAGTAGCTTGCAGGGAAAATGCAGCACTTCCAATATAGAACAAGGTACTGTATAATGGACTCTACTCCAGGTATTGGATTATATATTCTATTCATGACTTTGAAACATACCTAGGACTACTAGATCTAGTAATTCCAAAAAAAAAAGGAAAAAAATCAACAGTGTTCTTTTTACTCTGTTTCAATTGTTGGGAAAAAAATATGCATGATTCAACCAGACATTAGTAATGATTTTATTCCACTCTAGGTCCATCCATTGCTTGTAAAGCACCAGATAAAACCACCAAGAAATTTATCAGTCACAAAGAATTTCCATATCAAGCTGAAACTTGACTAGTAGTGATCCAATATCAAGGACACCAGGACCACAATGAAGTAAATTTTGATCAATGTGGCACAGGTTTTTCTTGGGTTGATGCCATGTTTGGAACTATTGACTGTAATCTTAGACAAAAGAGGTCATTACACATGATAATTCATGCAGCTATTCTCAGTGGACCATTCATCAAGTCTATGGAAGTTCAAAAGTAGATCTTTGAACAAGTCAGCCAGTCTATGAACAAAGGTGCAATACTTGAGACAGAAGTGAGCAATGTAAAGTTTCAGAGTGATATCAACCTAAACTCCTGAAAACACATTCCATCTCAATACTGTGACAACATATATCCACATGGACCACAAGTAGAGATGAGAATTATCCAGAGTTGGAGATGACACTGAAAAAATTAATACTATCTCAGCTTGTGCCCAGGTAAAACCAAAACTCTCCTCTCAAATTCAGCCCATGCAAGCCCTTGCAGGATTTTTTTTGTCACATTTCAAGTGACTTTTGATTTTTTTTTTTATTTCTGCTTGTGTTTGCTTGCTAGTCTGCTGTTTGGAGTATTTATTTTTGGAAACAGATGGGATAGCCGGTATGAGAGAATAGAACAACAAAAAGGAAGCATGTTTAGCTTTTTGTTTTTTTTTTTAAAAAAAAGAAGTACAACCTAAAATCTTGAATTTTTAAAACAAACATGCAGGAAAAAAAAAATGAAGAAGAAGGATAGGCAAAGAAAAGTGTTGAGAGAACGGGGAGGAAAGTGATATGGGGGAATATTATAGATGGATTACATAGTGTAATGATCCCCAGTGTTTCTTTTGTGATTTTGGCGTTCGGTGAAGAGAAAGAAAGGCTCGGTATCGATCTTCGTTTCCAACGGTTTCTTGACCATCACAAAATTATTCAGTTCTAAGCAGTTGAGATGGGTTAATTTTGATAAAGCGGCCTTTAATCTTCCCTGAAATAAGAAGGGGAGAGTGATCAAGTTCAGTTAGCAGAATAACCAAATTAGTGAGGGAAGGAAGGAAGGAAAAGAGTTGATAGGGCATACCAGAGCTCTAATGGGAACCTTGATACTGAGAGATTCGAGGAAGGGAGCCCGTTCGCAGATACGTTCGATAGAGCTCATAGGAGGAGGTTCGTTATGCTTGATATTCAGATGTTTAAGACGACTATAAGTACGGGTAGATTCGAAAGTAGTAACATAGAGTAACTCGAGGAGTAAGCTGATGAAAGCAGTATGGATGCTGAGAGCGGTATCGAATTCGAAGGATTCCATGAGCGGGGATTTCTCGATAAAGCTAGTGATAGCATCGCAGAACTCGAGCCAGTCGACGTTCACGTCGGCTTCGACGGTCGGGCCGAAGGCGATCAGGCTCAACGATTGGAGCGACGTGAGTGGGGCGAGATGGCGGAAGAGGAACTGGGAGAGCCCGATCCTGCCGAGCGTGAGCTCCTGGAGGAACGGAGTCATCGAGAGAAGGTCGATGATCGTTTGGTCTTCCAGACGGGTGTCCAGACACAGCTTGAACGAGGTCATCTTTGCCGACAGGAGCTGGGGGAGCTTGTCGTAAACGTTCGGGTTCGGCAGCCTGTTGTAGAGCCCACTGATCTGCAGACTGAAAGACTTCAGTCCTGGGCCCGGTTCTGAGACTCGGCCTTCCTTGCTGCCGACCTCGGTGGATAATATCTCCTTCAGGATCGATGGCAGCCCGTCCATGAATTCGTTCGAAGGTTGGACCAGATGGAGATGCTCGACTGTCTTGGGTAACACCAGTTTACGGAAGATGTCGAGCTTCTTATCGGCGCCGAAGTCGACAGAGCGATCGGCATACGCCTTCACGTTGGCAACCTGAAGCCCAGAGGCCTTTCGGATCGACACTTTCTTGAGGTTGACCATGCCATGGATCAGCTCGAATGCTTTCTCGCTGAAGAATCCATCGAACGGCGGCTTGACTTCCAGCTCCTCCAATCCTTCCAACAGTTGTAAGCATTTCTCGATCCCAGTTGACATCGGATATTGGCTCGTATCTTCCCATGTCGGCAAGGCAATCATCAACTTTCGCACATATCGCCCCACGTTTCTTGAACTAGATAGCGATCTGCAAAACTAGTTCCTCAGAAGCATTCTCTCAGACTGGTTAATATCATACACAACTTCCATCTAATGGAGATTCATAAACACTTTGGGAAGACAGGCTTACCAGACGGAAGGTCTTCGTCCTCCTGATGTATACGTTTTGGAACAAAAACGCTTGGCATACGTCCAGCCAGCCTCGACAGATCAAGCAACAAACCCTGAGGAATTTCAGTTTCCATCGATGAACTCTCGGGTCACTTTCATCAGACCGACTACATACATGAAAATTAGCCAGTCAGTTATATATATATATTTCCTTAAAACGTTTCTTTTTCCAGGAGAATATCATGATGGGGGAAGGACATACCCTAGACTGAGAGAGACGATCTTGAAGACGATTTCTGGAGGTAAGTCGTTTGGTGTCATGGACGACATGGTGAGTGTCTTGAGTGATTGGCCATCGAAGAACGGCCAAGCGGAAAGATCTCTTGGCCGGAAAATGGCCCCGTTGCACCACGAAATCCATAATCGGTAAACCCATGTCCATACTGTTACCGAACAAGGCTCAACTTTACTTACTGCGGATTAACTTAGCACGGTTTTAATCTGACATGCGCAGAAGTACCCCCATTCATCATCATGTCCAACACATCTCCTCAAATATTGAATGCAAAGGCCTCAGATCAGTACAGCACTAGATCAAAAGATCAAGGGATCAGATCCAGTCTAACTTTTTTATCGAAAAAATCTGGTACGATTATGAATTATGTTGAGACTGGAGGTGAGCAGAGCTGGATATTTAACATGATGAGTCAAAATTAGCAGAGAAGAATCTTCACAATCCCAATCAGAGAAATAGTTCTTTTCAGGGCCAAAGCATGAAGATATTCTAAGCCTCAATCGGAAACCAGTCTGCCAATCAGTTGAGCGAGTAATTCAGACTTCATCCAGATGGGTCTTGAAGCTTGAGGAAACTAATCCAATTTGGCCCCACTGATGATGTTGAAGCTATGACAAAAAGTGGCCATAGCACTTTGTCTAACAAAACTGAAATTTGGACCTTCAACCCCATAGTTTACCAAAGAAAAAGAAATAACTGAGATATCACATTTGTTTTTATCCTCAGTGACCAAAATCACCTGTTCACAACATCCATTACTTACAAATTCTAACAACAGCCCATGTGAAATACTGACAAGAACACACAAATCCAATCTCTTAGCTTGTTGACAAATCCCTAATTGACATGACTTGCTCAGGTAAGTTTAACCTGCCCTTTTTTCCAAAAAAAAAAACAGTCCTTCTGGACTAGATCCAGTCAAACTCCTAGACCAACTTGAAATATACCTTATTAAAAAGGGTTACAGATTGAGGGAAAAAAGTATTGTTTCAAAAAGAAGGGAAAAATACATCTTGATAAAGTCAAAAAGGAAATTGTCTTTCACAGGCCCAGGGGATGAATGGCTTCATAATGAGGTTTGATTTCAAAGAAGCTCTTTGTTGACCCAATTTAGATGATTTCAGCAACCCGGATATTACATGGTTACAGACAGGTATTGGTCTGCGCATGGCTTCTGCCAGTTTCTTGCCTCTACCCATACCCTTCCATCAGCCATGTTACAATGGATTTACCATTGAGTATGCATTTATAGGGTGGGCTCTACTTCATATATACTTTGGGTTCTGATAAACAAATTCAGATTTTCTTCAGTAATCCTATGATTATTAGGAAAAATGACACTGGTCATTGACTAAAAAAATCCAAGTCTTGAGCAGATGGATAGGTATTTTGCTTGTTTTAGAAATAGTTTCTTTTTTTATATTTCCCATTATAAAATAAAGACCCCAGCTTCAAGTACTGTTGAATTTATCAACCATGCAGGGAAGCTGAAATCATATTCCCAGCTAAAGTGTTCTTCTTTTCACTACATTTATTGTTTTTTATTTCCCAAGGAAAACAAAAATGCAAACAAATTATCTGAGTTTTATCCCTCTGTGAGCTGCCTCAACCTGATTATCAACCAGGGCATCAACAGGACCTTTCTATGGTCTGTCTGAATCTGAACACAGAGATTGTCACTTTTAGGCCAGAATGACAGTGTTGTGAACAATATAGATTGTACTCGAAAAGCTCAAGTTTCAACTGTTCAATCGACATACCAATAGGTTGTGTCCAGGAGCCCACATGGAATTGCGCCCTTGGGGCTATCATACTCAACTTCTGGAACCTCCAGTTTCACCGAGTGCCAAAAAGGGAATGATCCACATTGAGTTGGCTTCGGTGTCATCCACGGCAGAATGTTTAATTTCTGCTTGCGAGCGGTCTGCAGTTTCCTGTGTAATCTACCCTATTACCAGGATGATTGTTTTGTTTTCACTTTTCTTTCAAGATCATCATTGGATAGCTTATTCTATTTTTTTTTGTTGTTTGTAGATAATAGTTTAATTGACTTGAATGACGGGCAAATTGTTTTTTTTGAGGGTTGGAAGTGAATTAAAGAAAATAAAAAACAATGTGGACACGATAAAGATATGCAAAACCAGGAAACGTTCGAAACGATTGACAAGCTATATGAGTAAAATGATTATGTTTGGTTGAGTGTTCAGGTTGATAGGATCTTAATTCGTATGCTCTTAAGTGGTAAGGGAGCTATATAAAAGTTATTAAATTCCGCACTCGTGAACTCGGCTCAAAACCAAGCCCATCAAGAAGACCAATTCAAACTGTCCAACAAATAATAAGGGTCAGAGCTGTTTTCTGATGGTTAAATGTTGTTTGGTGGGGACATACCTGTGGAGAATCGGCCGTGCAAAAGAGCGTATAAGTTGCGACCTCGTGTACTGAGGGGGTGGTCAGGAAGGCGTCCGTTCGCTCTTGATCTGAAACAATTCATCAACAATTAGACATCACACATTTCTTATTTTTATGCTTCAGGGATGACACTAACCTCTGAGCTCGGCGATCAGCTCGCCGTCTTCGCCCTTGATCTGAGGGTAAATTTTACCTGATGGAATCGAATCGGTGAGCGACAAGTTTTTCAAGAATAGCCGAGAGAATCCAAGAGGCATGAGTTAAGCTTACCCTCTTTGCTCGAGAAGTTTCGGTTAAACTTAAAGTTTTGTCGTTTGCCAGAGCGATCGACGAAGTTGAATGTCCATTCGTCTTTGAGTAAACCATTAGGGTCGATGGTGAAATGCTTTTTTGACGATAAGGGTAAATCGTACTCGGTGTAGGTTGTCTTGTGGCCGCAGATATCATTCGTCTGGGGGCCGTGATAGGAAGGAGAAGCAATCAGGCATGGGATTAGAGACATCTTCATGGGCTTTGTATTGAGCATTCGGCGCTTACCGATCCCAGGGCAGACAACAATTCGAGAGATGGGGTCATGAGCACAGTTTTGCTATCCCCTTGGAGAGGGTCTTGCACATTCTTAGCAAAACGGTAAACGACGGTGCCGTCTTGGCCAAAGACATCCAAAAACCCTCTGGAATAGTCAATCTGTTGCTTCATTATGTAGACTTGGTTCAGGGGATTAGGGTCGGCCTTGTGTGGGCTTGCGCCGATTTGAGTAGAAAGCAATAAGCATGCCGATAGGCTGACGAAAGTGGATAGGAACTGCATGGATGGATGGCGAGAGTGGAGTGTGGAAGGGATGAGTGGGGAAAGAAGCAGCCCACCACCCCAGTCTTTTATGGTGATTGACCTCCCGCCGGGCGAAATTTGGAGAATGTGTACTAAAGATGAAACTCACTGGAGTTCACTTAAGGACGCTCAAAAACTCTCAAGTGATCATTCCAATTGGGAACTCTCTGCAAGTTACGTGTTTCGATATATACCCCGGCCCACTGTAATTCCATGAAACTTGTAGCGGTCCTTTTTCCTAGTCTACATAAGAAGAAAAATCCACAGTACATACATCCCTGAGCTACCTCTCTTACCAGAAAGTATACATATTCTTCACCCACAGGGTCGGGAACGACATGCTTTTGTGGTCAATTCAGCATAATCAGCATGTATTCAGTGTTCTTTAATGTTTGCTTGATCGAAAGCGTTGACTTGATGGTTGCTCATTCTGGGTTGTTTTCTTTCTAAGATGAATGACTTCAATATGGTATTCTACTGAAACAGGGCCATTCAAACATGTATGTACCAGTTCGTTTGTACGAGCGTAGCCTCTTGCTCAAGACAGTTCTGAAAAGGCCGAAAGTCAACCCATCCAACTGGTTAGTTTTCCGAGAACGTAGCTTGACTCCAAATCATTTTTTTTTTGAAGTCGTTATAATTTTGTTTGCCCAGCTTGTCTTTGAGCTGGTCTCCATGATCATCGGACATGCTTAGTTACAAGGAAAACCAAAACATTAAACACAATGAACATTTGCAAAAAATAGAAAGGTGGGAATGCTGGTAAAGCTTGAAGGGAGGAACGTCTGAAGCGTTTGAGCAAGACGGTCAATAGCAGCTAAATTCAAGTGAGATGAGAGGAAGGCAGTTCAGTGTCAAAGTCCGCAGTCATGAACCCGGTTCATAACCAAACCCATCAAGAGGACCAATTCAACCTGTTTATCAAGCAATGGGAGTCAGAGCTGTGTTCGGTTGGCTCGATGATAAGACAGTGGGGACACACCTGTGGAGAATCCGCCGTACAAAAAAGGGTGTAGGTATCGACCTCGCGTGTTGAACTGGTGGTCAACCAGGAATCGGTTCGCTTTTGATCTGTAAAAATCGGTCGACCGTTGTCGGTTAGATGCCGCACATATGTTTTTGGCTATGGAAATCTGACTAACCCTCAAACTCGGCTACCAGCTCGCCATTTTCGCCTTTGATCTGTTGGTAAACTTTACCTGATGGAATCGGCTCTGTTAGTGACAAGTGCACTGTAACCAATAAGCTTCATCATGAGGCATGCGTACCCTCTTTGTTTGCGTAATTTCTGTCAAACTTGAAATTTTGTTGTTTGTTCGTGCCATCAACGTAGTTAAATGTCCACTGGTCTTTGAGCAGACCTTCAGGATCAATGGTAAACTGCCGCTTTCGTGATCCGGGCACCTTCATCTCGGTGTAGGTTGTCTTGTGACCGCAGAGGTTGTTCGACTGTAGGGCGTGGTAAGAAAGAGAAGAGGTCACTGTCAGACATCGAGATCAATTATCCGGGGGGTTACTATTCAACAATCCGCACTGACCGATTCGAGTACTATCAATGCATCGGAGGCTGGGCTCATGAGTACAACGGTAGTGTACCCTGTGATAGGATCTTGTATATGTCTAGTAAATCGGTACAATACGGTGCCGTCTGGGCCGTATATACGCAGAGAGCCTTTGGAATAGTCCATCTCTTGTTTCATGATGTAAGCTTTGGAAAGCGGAGCGCGATTGGCAGGGTGTGAGCTGGTTGCGATTGGCATCGCGAAAGAAAGGCACGCCAAAACGCTGAGGAAAGTAGTTAAGAGCTTCATTGTTAGCTGTCGAGTGCACTAATACGAGGGGGAAGATCTGATGCCTGCGGGTGCGATGAACGCAAGCCAGTTTATATCTTCATTGATTGTGGTGTTATTCACCCGGCCCCATGACTTCCCTACTCTTGGCCGAAACTCGGAGGCTCCTTACTTGAGGTGAAACTCATCAAAGATTCAATGAAGCGCTCTCGAAATTGTCAAGCTTCATACACATTCCAAGCAGAGAATCTCCATCGGCTTCATGCTATTTCAAGTATCCCAGTTCAACAGAATTCCATGAAACATGTCTTGGTCCTTTTTCTTTGTCAAAAAGAGAGAAATCTGCCGTAAATCCCTGTGCTACCAAGTATCGCTCTTAGATAGTAGCCTTGGTCCTTACCGAGAGCATCAAGAAAATGGGCAGCACAGTTTTTTTAGTGGTTGAGCAGCATGTATCCTCTGATGATTGCTTCATCGCAAGTTTTTCTGTTGCTTGTTCTGAGCCATTTTTTTTTTTGGGTTGTGACAGTTCAATGTCGCATTGTGAAATAGGTTCATATCATGTGCTGCCAGCACCATTGGGCTGATTTTAGTGAAATATCGATGACTCTCAGCAGAAGTTCGCAGAACATATCAAAACTGATGTTGCTTTGACATTGGATTTTTTTTACTTCCTTAACATCATAATTGGCCAGTTTCTTTTACTTTGGACTACGTGTTATATGTGATGAAGAATCAACAGACAAATTGAGCTGCAAATGAAAGAGAGAAAAGAAAACACAGTAGTGAAGAGTTCCGATACAAGAAAATGAAGGAAGCTACTCAAGTTTGATGAGAGATTATCGAATTTGAACGAGATGGTTGACAGAAACTTAATTCAAGTGTGGTTAGATAGCAAGGAATTTGAGCATTAAAGTCCGCAATCATGGACTCGGCTCATAACTAAACCCATCAGCATGACCAATTCAACCTGTTCAAAAAAGAACACCGGTCAGAGCTGTTTGCTGTTGTCTCGCTGTAGGTAAGCGGGGACACACCTGTGGAGAGTCCTCGGTACATGAAAGGGTATAGGTGTCAACCTCGTGTACTGATGGGGTGGTCAACCAGGAATCCGTCCGCTTTTGATCTGAAAAAAATCAATCGACAGTTAGATATGTTCACAAAATCTCTACGAATGATGGCACTAACTTCTGAGCTCGGCTACCAGGTCGCCATCTTGGTTCTTAACCAGGTGGTGAATTTCTCCTGATGGGATTAGGTTTGTTAGCAGCACATCTATAGCCTGTAGTCTTTAGCAGTCGTACATACCCTCTTTGCTCGCGTAGTTTCTGTCAAACTTGAAGTTTTGTTGCGTGCCGGTGGTATCGAGATAGCTAAAGGACCACTGGTCTTTGAGCAGACCATTAGGGTCAATTTCAAATTGCATTTTTTGTGGTCCGGAGTCCAATTGGGTGTAAGTTGTCTTGTGAGCGCAGAGATTATTTACCTGTGCGCCGCGATGAGAAAGAGAAGCAGTCAGACATTGATATCATCTATCCGCGGGACAACACTGACCCCTTGCAATACGATCGATACGTGCGTGGCTGGGTGATCGAGTAAAATGGTGGTGAACCCTGTGATAGGGTCGAGTATGTTCCTCACGAAACGGTAAACAACGGTGCCATCTGGGGCGTAGATGGGCAAAGAGCCTTGGGAATAGTCCATTGTTTGCTTCATTATAAAAACTTTGGAAAGTGGGGCGGGGTCGACCTTGTGTGGGCTGGCAACAATGTGCGTGGCAAAAGAAATGTACGCCATTAGGCTGATGAAGGTGGATAGGAACTGCATAGTTAGATATTGAAAAGTTTGCAGGGTGAAGATGGATGGTGTGCGAGCTGAGAGGGAGGTGGTGCTGAAGCTGGTTTATATATGCGCAATACGGAAGCCCTGGACGTAGCGCAATGATTTGTGAACCAAGAAGCGTCGCATTGCTGGCCCCATGGCCATCATACTTTTGGGCGAAATCTGGAGACTGCATACTAGAAGTGAAACTCACTCCGAGCCTAACACAAGCCTCGCTGGTGAGAGCCCGGAGGGCAGCCCCGCAGGGTCTCTGTCTCACAGAGAGGCTTGCCCCCAAAGCGCAATGCGACAGTGGCGAGGCCACTCGCATGCCAACGCCGCCCATAGCAGGGAATCGGGACTTGCGTTAAGTTCGACTGACTCATGTCAATGAAGAATGAAGCACGCGCAAAGTTCCCAAGCTGCTCCCTACAAGTTACATGTTATGTCAGATACCCCCGGCCCGGTCAATATATTTCCATGAAACATGTGCCGGTCCTGTTCCTTGGTCAAAAAAGAACAATCTGTTGTACATAGATGTGCTATCTTAGCTGTATCTAGCTATCTCCTGCTACTTCCCTTAAATCCGGCTTGACCTTTACTCAGAGTGCCGAGAGAATACAGAACACGATGACAGCCTCTATTTGTGACCTCTGTGGTGAGTTTTTATTTATTAGATTTGATTTTAAAGTGCAGTTTGATTTTATCAAGTACCAATATATGAGTAGTAGCAGCTATCTAACTGAGGAAATGCCCCAGGGGCTACAAGAGTTGTCGACGCATGTTTGTATGTGTGGTCCAGTCTGCATTTTACATTGATCAATAAGAGGCTGTCAGTGGCTCTTTCTGAGTCACCTGTTCGCTTTGAACTTGTTTCAATCATGTCCTGCTGACTTTGTGGGCCTTGATTTAAAATCAGCAGGACATAAACACACATACTGCCTTGTGAATGCGTGACTTGCTCATGGTCATTCGAAGTGAGACGGAAGATCAATCCATCCAGCTAATTATTTTGCTGAAAGTGTAATTTAATTGGTATGTAACCCGATTCCTTTGCTTCGGACAATAGGAAATTTGTTCTCCATGGTCAATGTGAAAGTTAAGTTAAAAGTGAAAGAAATGAAAGCTCGACACAATAAACATCCAACAGCACTAGAAAGGGGAAAGCTACTCGAGGTTTGAGGAAAAGAGAAGAGGTAGCTATAAAATCAATTCGAATGTACCATGTGCATCAACTTCCACAATCGTGGACTCGACTGATTACCAGGCCCATCAAGAGGATCAGTTCAACCTGTTCAACAAGAAAGGGGAGTCAGATCTGTTTTCCGTTGGTTCAATGCAGGTTAGTGGGGACACACCTGAGGAGAATCGGCCGTGCAAGAAAGGGTGTAGGTATCGACCTCGCCTACTGAACTAGAAGTCAGCCAGGAATCCGTCCGCTTTTGATCTGAAAAAAGCAATTGGCAATTAGTTGCCAGAAACGTTTTCCTTGCAGAGGGAGGATACTAACTCCTGAGCTCAGCTACCAGGTTGCCGTCTTGACCATTGATCTGGTGGCGAATTTCACCTGATGGAATCGGGTTTGTAAGGGGCAAGTCCATCATATTCAGTAACATTCAGGGTGGGTACATACCCTCTTGGCTCGCGTAGTTTCTGTCGAACTTGAAGTTTTGCTGCGTTCCCGTGCCATCGACATAACTAAAAGACCACTTATCTTTGCGAAAATTGTTAGGTTCAATGGTAAACTGCATTTTTCGTGCTCCGGGGGCATCTAACTGGGTGTAGTTTGTTTTGTGACCACAGAGACTGTTGGGCTGTGTGCCGTGGTAGGAAACAGAAGGGATCAGACATTACTATCATCTATAATCCGCGGCACAGCACTGACCGATTGTAAGTATACGAAGAATGCTTTCGAAGGTGAACTCTCGAGGAAAACTGTAGTGAAGCCTGTGATAGGGTCTTGTATGGTCCTGAGGAAACGGTAGACAATGGTGCCGTCTGCGGCGTAGACGTGCAAAGAGCCTTGGGAATAGTCCATTTCTTTCTTCATTATAAAAACTTTGGAAAGCGGGCTGGGGTCGGCCCCGTGTGAGCTGGCAGCTATGCGCGTAGCAAAAGAAAGGCAAGCCAATAGGCTGATGAGGGCGGGTAGGAACTGCATAGTTGATTGTTGGGAGATATGGAACGTGGAGACGCGGATGACTTGGGAGCGCTCAGGAGAGTCTTCTGAAGGCAGTCTATATGCACCATGCTTGTGAGCCAAGAAGTACGGAATCCTTGGAAATTGGAATATGTATGTACATACTTTCGGGCAAGATTAATCTGGCGAAATCTGGAGACTGCTTACTCAAAATGAAACTCACTCATGGAGAATCAAACATGCTAAAAATTCTTCATTAATATTCAAACCGGGAAGCAAATTGTATGCTGTATCACATACTCCGGTTCAACGCCATTTCACGAAACATGTTCCGGTCCTTTTCCTTTGTCAAAAAAGAACAGTATGTTGCATACTCTTGATCAGGCTTCGCCTTGACCCAGAGCGCCAAGACTTTAGAACAGGACAGCCTGTTTTCTCACCCTGATATTATACGTTGAAAAACCGTGGGGAGCTTGTTGTTGTGGTTCCTTCAGCTTTTTGATTATGCGGCTTTTGACGATTCTTTTGAAGCGAATTTTTCGTGATGGGGATGTGAGACAAGGAATCCCAATCATCTCATTCTGGCTTGGCGAGCATTTATTCAAAATCAGCCCTAACCAGCAGGACGTGTAAACTGCCCTATCACCGTGACTTGCTTAAAATTATGCGAAGACTGAAGATCAATCCGTCCAAATAATTATTTTGCGGAAAATGTAATTTAACTGGAAGCCCGATTTCTTCTTAGACAAGTTAAAAATGAAAGGATTGAAGGCTGATCACAATAATCATCCACTAGCAGTAGAAGGGGGAAAGCTACACCAGATTTAAGCAACAGAGACAAGGAATGTAGTTACAGAATAAATCCAAAGGTGATGAAGTGCAAGGAAAAGTATGCATCAAAGTCCACAATCATGGACTCGGGTCATAACCAAGCCCATTAGGAAGACCAAATCGACCTGTGCCAAAAAAAAAAAAAACGGATCAGGATTGTTTGTGGTTGATTTGCTGTAGTTTATAGTGAGCACTGAGGACACACCTGTGGGGAATTGTCAGCACATGAAAGGGTGTAAGTGTCAACCTCATGCACTGAAGGGGTGGTGATCCAGGCATCCGTCCTCTTTTGATCTGGAAAAAAAATCAATCGACAGTTAGATGCCGCATAATTTCTACCTATAGGGATGGCACTAACTCCTGAGCTCGGCTACCAGCGCGCCGTTTTTGCCTTTGAACTGGTGATAAATTTCGCCTGATGAGATCGAGTTTGTTAGCAACACGTCCATAGCCTATAGTCTCCAACGGGTGTACATACCCTCTTTGCTGGCGTAGTTCCTGTCAAACTTGAAGTTTTGTTGCGTGCCGGTGACATCGAGGTAGCTAAAGGACCACTGGTCTTTGAGCAGACCATTAGGGTCGATGGTAAACTGCCGGCCTTGTGATACGGGCACCTCCATGTCGGAGTAGGTGGTCTTGTGAGCACAGAGGCTGTTCGACTGTGGACCGTGGTACGTAAGAAAGAGAAGCAGTCAGACATTGATGTCACTCATCCACGGCATAGCACTGACCGATTCCACCACATTCAAAGTGCCTGAGGCTAGGTCCTTGAGTAAAATCGTGGTGGACCCAGTGAGAGGGTCGTGTATACTCCTGATGAATCGGAAAGCAATGGTGCCGTTTGAGGCGTAGATAGGCAACGCGCCTTGGGAATAGTCCATCGCTTGTCTCATTATGAAAATGTTGGAAAGCGCGGCGGGGTCGGCCTGGTGTGGGCTTGCAACAGTTTGCGTAGCAAAAGAGAGGCATGACAATGCGTTGACAAAGGTTGCTAGGAAGTGCATCGTTCGGTGCTGAGAAATATTGATGGATGGCCTGCAAACCGGACAATGCACCCTGCCAAAGCTGGTTTATATGCACAATGCTTGTGTGCCAAGAACTGCCGAGAAGTGTTGTACACCCGGCCCCATGGCCTCCACACTTGCAGGCAAAATCTGGAGACTCTCTCAAGTCATGTTTAAATTGGGAGCTCCCAACAAGTTACATGTTATGTCCGATACCCCAGGTCAACATAATTCTATGAAACATGTGCCAGGTCATTTCCTTTCCAAAAAAGAACAGCCCGTTGCATACATTTATTATATCCTTTTGCTACCAGGTGCTACCACGGTTGATCAGACCCCATGAGTCCTTTTTTAACCTCCTCCACCTAAAAAATGTGGTTTTTATCATTAATCCATCAGGTATCATTTGAATGTAAATGATGCTTTTTTGCCAATAGTCTTTTGGCGGCTCATTCATTCTGAGTCGCTTTTGTGCCTTGGAGTTGTGAGATAGGGAAGTCCAATCATGTTCTGTTAACTTGACAGACATTGATTGGGAATCAGCCCCAATCAGCGGGACGTATGTGAGCTACCCTAATGTGCGACTTTATGAAAAGGCCCAAGAGCAACCCATCCAACTGATCAGGTAAAGGTTCCTCGAGAAATAGTTCGATCGGAAACCTCAACTTCTTTGTTGCAGGCTTTTTATGCTTCGAGTTTGAGGCTATTTGTCCTCCATGACCAACACACAAATCAAGTTACAAACGCAAGAAATAAGAGAAAAACATGATACAAATCCGATAGCAGAAGATGTGGAAAGTTATCCAGGGCTAGAGCAAAAGAGACGGGGTAGATATGGACAACATTCAAAGGCGATTAGGCGGAAAGGAGGATGCGCATCAAATTCCACAATCGTGGACGCGGCTCATAACCAAGCCCATCAATAGAGCCAACTCGACCTGTCAATCAAATATATTGGGCGTCAGGACTTTGGTACGCTGTAGTTTGGTAATAATGAGAACACACCGCTGGGGAATCTTGAGCATATGAGAGGGTATAAGTGTCGACTTCATGTACTGAAGGGGTGGTGATCCAGGAATCCGTTCGCTTTTGATCTGAAAAAAAAAATGATTCGATAGTTAGACACCACACAGTCAATAGATATAAGGATAGTACACACTTCTGAGCTCGGCTACCAGGTCGCCGTTTTCGTGGTAAATTTCACCTGATGGAGTTGGGTTTTGTTAGCGACAGATCTGTAATTCAAAGCCTTCAGGAGGCGGACGTACCCTCTTTGCTGGCGTAGTTTCGGTCAAACTTATAGTTTTGTTGGGTGCCCGTGCTATCAACATAGTTGAATGACCACTGGTCTTTCAGCAGACCGTTAGGGTCGATGTTAAATTGCTGTTTTCGGGATCCGGACACGTCCGAACCGGTGTAGGTTGTCTTGTGAGCGCAGAGATTGTTTGACTGTGGTCGGAAAGAGATGCAAGCAGTCAGACTTCGGGCTCATCTTATCTGCGGCATCTTCCTTCATCAATCAGCACTGACCGATCTCAGTACGAACAATGGGTTCGAGGTTGGGTTCATGAGGACTACGGTAGTGTAGCCTGTGACAGGGTCATGTATATTCCTCATAAAACTGTAAACAATGGTGCCGTCTGGGCCGTAGATGGGCAGAGCGCCTTTAGTATAGTCCATCGTTTGCTTCATGATGAGAGTTTTGGAAAGCGAGGCGGGGTTGGCCTTGTGTGGGCTTGAGAAAACTTGCGTAGCGAAAGAGAGGCATGACAATGCGCTGACGAAGGCTGGTAAGAAGTGCATCGTTGGATATTTCGAGGTTTATGGAAAGTAGAGATTAATGACCGTGGAGAATAAGGCAGGCGCTCCACCCAAGCCAGTTTATATTCTCATGGATTGCAAGCCTATTCACCAGGACAGAATCCATGGCCTCCATTTCCTCGGGCCAAATGCCCTACTCCAGGTGAAACTCACCCTGCAGAATCCAGCACGCTCAAAAACCTCAAGTTTGTACTCCAACTGGGGACTTCCCACAAGTTTCATTTGTTATATGTATATACACTCGCTCAACACATTTTCTTGAAACATGTGTTGGCTCCATCTCTTCACAGCTGTGCCAAGATCCTTGGCCTTTCCACACCATTCCGGATTGATGTCACTCCGAGCCGGATTTTCAGTGTCTCTCTTCTACTTTCAGGTGTCTTCTTGTTGGGATGTATGTAGCCAAGTTTTGTGCCATGAAGAAATGACACCCACGATTATTTCTTTACTAGATATAGGAAAGCGTTGAAGAGTTTGGATGTTTTAAGATTGTGAGACAAGGAAATGGTTCTTCTCTCCAAGAGCCCAGTGGCCTCCTCTGTAATGTACAGAAAGGTTAACCCCGACCAACCTTGTCCAATTCTCAGTTTTTTTTGATCAGAGGCGGACAAACTCCAGTCCTCGCGTTCATTTTTCATTCTTCTTTAGGTTTGATGTCCCAAGTCTAAGAGATAGAAGCTGCTCAACTGGCGCAGGATGGTTTCTCAAATTCTATGATTATCTAGAGCAAAGAACACAAGAAACGCCACAACGTGATTTTTTTCTGATGTAACGAGAATATACCTTCGATGTCCAGCGTTATCGGATATCTAGTCCAACTTTTTCTCCTCTTGAAAAACCCCGTCTTCTCTCTTTTTTTTGTGATAGTCCATCGCAACCCAAAAAAGCAAAACCCTGTGATCGTCCGTAGTTGAAGATACCTCGATCAAATGGAAAAAAGTTCCTTCAAGATTTTCTATAAAAAAGAAGCTGGTCGATTAATGAATCCACCCAGGGAGACAGAGAGAGAGAGAGAGAAAAGAAGTTGTAGTGAGGAAGAAGAAGTGAGGGAAACATACGATAGTATCTTCAGGACAAGTGACCGGATGGCCGATGGTCCTAGAGTCCTCATAAATCTCATGATCGTTGCCTCCCTTATAAGTCTTATCACCAAAGAAATGGATCTCCTTGAAGCCGGCCTTCTCCACATGTTTCAACGCGTATGTCTTATCCCATCCTACATGATCCCTCCTTTAAATAACCACAGAGCTTTATCTAAGGGGTGGGGTGGAGTGATATATGTGGACATACCGTTAGGGAAAACATCAAACGAGATCTGGCCTCCAATCGAAAACGTCAACCCGTAATCGGCAAATTCTTTCTTCAACTTCTCCACGAATTTCGCTCGGACTTGGCTCTGTTTATCGTACTTCTCAAATTCATCTCGTTCGGAAACCCTGCATGAAAAAGAGGAACGTGCGACATTAGTGTTCGGAAGGATGTCAAAGAGGGGAGGAGAAAGAAGATGGGTAGTAAGACTGACGATGCGTTTCGTCCGATAGGTGAGACGTTCTTTTTACAGTCATCAAAAATAAAAATCAAAAGGAGGATTGGGGTCGGTGTCAGAGAATCAGTGGTGATGAAAGCGTGATCGATCGGAAGAGAAAGAAGAGACCGACGATCATTCCGTTCCTGAACTCGACAAAAGTACCTCTGAAACGCCCGCAGAAGCCGATCAGAGTCAGTCCAACCAGTCTTCCATCGAAGCAAAAGAAGAACTCGAGATCGAAAGAACGGACCGTTTGATAGGGATGTCTAATTCGCTGATCTCTCTTAGACAAAAGTTGACCAGTTTCTTGTACCGGTCTTCGCCGAGATGGTTGATGAAGCTCTGGCTTTCCAAGACTTTGCCGGACTGATACGCGGTCAATCCGTTCTCAGCGAAGCAATAATCGAAGTTCTCCAACACTGATCGTCATCATCGACATACATACATACACACACGAGCCATAGACATACAAGTTCAGTAAAAAAAAACAAAGCAAATCGGATGGTAAAGAGAAAGAGAGACAGACCGTTAGCCGTGGGAGTGACTTCGAGTTGTTCTCGGATCTTGACCAGGTCCGAGCCTCCGACGAACCCGATCACCGCCTTCTTTCGCAAGTCTTGCAGAGTCTTGAGGATCTCAGGGGAGGCCGATCGACGAGCGGGGGTGAGAGTGCCGTCGACATCGAAGAGCACCAACGTCGTCCCTGCAAACACCCGATCACATCTCAATACATATCTTCTTCTCTTGAGTGACCAGTATACATCATCTTGATGGGTTTTCTGGATGGTCATGGACAAAAAAAAGGATAGCTTACCTAAGGGTCGAGACGAGAATTCGGTGGCCATTTCTAATATTTCTAGTTGGGTATTTCCAAAGCTACTATAGTGAACCGCTTTCTGCTGTTTTTCTCGACACAAGCTGGCTTCTGTTCAATCAGAGTGAAGTCAAGACTGTGTTGGTGGATGAACCGGTGGCTTATTTAGATATGACTGGCTGACCTGATATACATAAATACATATCTCCAAGTTGATATCATCCGATTCCGATTATAATCAAGCATCATAAGCATCCATCATCATCATCAGCGTGATCTACAGAACTACATGCAACTCGACTCTGCAGAAGTTCAAGTCAGTCAGGAACTCATTCTCAGGCATTTACAATCTTCTGGCAAGAAGTCAGCGCAAGTACATATTTGTATTGAGTAACATAAATCTTGATGACTGTCTACAATGTCAAAGGAAATGAAACTGATTTTTTTTAAGAAAAAGGAGAAAAATCTACTTATCATCAACTCATTTTGACTGTCAAACCATTGTTATGAGTAGCCAAGGATAAAGCTTTGTATTGAGAACCAATTTCCATCTTGGAGAAAGGATCCATTCATACATAGCAAATAGAAAGACTGATCAAGTTTTTGTTTCAAAAAGCACCGCAGGAAGCCTATAAAGCAACCAACACATAGTATTACAAGATATTTTTTTTTCTCATACTTCCATAATAATATTACAAATTTCAGTCACTTCATCAACCAGAAAATGATACCAAGACAACAAGAGAGACAGAGTAGATTGGGAAGATATTTGAATCATAATCTGCTGGTGGAATGGTTGGTTTGGAGAAGACAAATCACGCCAGATATTGCAAATACAAATACAAAAGTACAACCTAATCCAAATCCTTATTTATTGAGAGAGAGAGAAAATAACAGACTGCTTATGCTTGATGTTCTGAGCAGAAAGTACTTCATATCAGATGATGGTGATCCAATGATTCCTGGATAACAATAAAAGACCTAGATGAAATCTTGAAAAAAAAAATGGAAAAAGAACTTATTAGTCAATGATCATCAGATCCACCACATCTGCTGGTCCAAGGCATCCATTTTGTTCATCATCGACTTGATTCTGTCTTGGTACATCCCGAGGTCATGGGCCCTTTCTTCGGCGGTTTGGTCGCGACCAGAGGCCACTGAAGCCACCGTCGAGGCTCCATCATCTTCTACATTCAACCACATCTTGGCTCGCGAAGCAACTGTTGATTATTATTATTATTGTGCGGATTTGTTTTTTTTTGTCAGTCAAATCACTCATTCGAAAAGATAGATCTGTCTTACCTATGTCCGCATACTGGTTAGATATCAAAATTGGGGTATGATAAGTCAGTCAGCTAATAGAAACCCAAAATTGTCTTCAGATGTGACTTACATAAGCAGGTGTAGCAAGACCAACGCTCCTAGTAGCGCGTTGAAACCCAGACGAGACTAACCAAACAAGGTCAAAGAAAAGGGGATGAACAAGGATCAAAGCCAGCAGTTGGACTGAAAAGGGGACGGACTGATTTGGATGAGCGATTGCAACTGATCAGCCGAAGAGTTACTCTCGTCCTTCAAGATCACGTAGCGGGTTGGTCGGGAGGTGCCCTGCAAGCCGGCCTGGGTCTGGGCAAAGAAATCGAACAGGAATGGGTCTCCAATCCGGTTGTCTAAGACCGAGCCTGCCGGCGCATTGCCCGATCTGTCTTGGCATCTATTGTCCGGCGACATCCTCAATCGATGACTATAGATTCATTCAAAAAAAAGGGGGGGGTTAGGTCGTTGCGGTCTTTCCCAGGGAGAAGATTTTACTTACTTTTTTGCACAGACAATGTAAGTGATCTGTGCATCATTCAAGTTGGATATCTCCATCAGTTTCTGCCGATCAACAATAGATTTTTAATGTTTTGAGGACAAACTTTGCATTGGTCGGGCTTTCCGGCAATTTTCTCAACCGCAGCTGTTGTGATAGTAGAACAGTCGAAAAGATCAGTTTTCTTCCCCACGAAAAATACAATGTGTCTGTTTTTTCTCGATGGCTAATGGAAAAGCCTACCTTTTGCAGCCTTGAACTCTATATTGAACCAAAAAGAAAAAGGCGACCAGAAGGATATGAGAAGTGAGCCAAAAAAACAAAAAGAAGAAGAGTACTGAATGATGATAAGGACGAGGACGGACCGCTCTCCAAGACTTGGCTGAACTCGCCATCAGAGACACCATCTCTGAAAATGATCAACCTTCGAGGAAACTTAGGACCAGGATTAGTCTTAGCCCATTTTTGGAGCAAGTTGAACAACAGAGTTCTAAAGAGTTGAATGGGCTGATTGTTTCACCAAAAGAAACAAGTCGAATTAATGATGGTCTTTTTGTGTTTAAAACCATGCAGAACACCAAATCTTACCTCTTGGGATCGAGGTCTTCCATCCTCATCACTTGGTTCTAACAAAGGCTGGACGCCGACCGCCGGCGCATACTTCAACAAAGTCCGATCCAAACTACCCACCAAAGCAGCAATCGAGGGCTTCATTTTAGGCGACAGATTGTTGTGGGTCAAATCCGCACCTAAGGATAACAACAACAACAAAAACAGTTGCTTCTTGAGTGATTTTTCACACTGATCTTTGTCTCAACATCGGGCACGACTTACCAACTATCATCGTCGGGACGCCGCCACAGGCCGGCTCAAGATCAGTCAAGCGATGATTGAGTCCACCAATTTTCAAATTTCTGGGGTTTTTTTGTTTGGTAGCGTTAGCACTGGAAGACTCAGGGTTTTTATCAAGTTGAGAGCCCTCACATCTTCAAAGCCAAGCTATCAAAAGAAATCGAATACATCATGAGTTCCAACGTTTCAAGTACGCTTTTGGATCCTAGAATTATCAAGTTGAAGTGCTGCTTACTTTGAAAGGTATTGATCTTTCGCATTTTTCCTGTGATTGTTTTTTTTTTCAAAAATAGAAGGTTGAAAGATTGTATGAATGATCGGTATTGTTTTTTTCTTCCTCTTTGTAATCTAGAAAGAGTTGTGGATGGTGGTAGCTCTTACACATGCTTGATAACCATGCATTGAGTGGTGACGCCTCGACTTGCAAAGTTCTATAGTTAATACCGACACAGGATGGGTCAGACAGACTTCTTTTCCAAGAAAAATACACTGATGAACTTGATGAGCTCACGTCTCCTTCGACCTTGATGCTGTTATATAAAAAGCTACGATCATCTGTGATACATAAGAAAAGCTGGGGCGGGTTTTTGTTGAAGCTTTGCCAAGCGGTCTTTCCAGCTTTTTCCAAAGCTTCTTTGACTTGAGGAGTTCCTTGGCCTGTTAAACGGATCACCGGAGGTGGCGCATCGGCAACTTGAACACCTATTAATTCATTATCCCCCCCCCCCCAAAAAAAAACACTTTCAGTTTTCTCTCTCCGAAAGTGTTTGCATGTGGGTGTTCTCACCTAGCTGGATCAACTTGGTTCTCAAGCCACCTAAGAAATTCATCAGGGCTGCCTCGGGTAAGTGGGCATTAGTGCAAATGACCACCGCCCTTTATTGCATGTTTCCAATCATAAAAAAAAAAAAGAAATCAGAAGACGCTTTATGTAGTTCTTTTTTGTCACAAAATGCAGACAAAAGATAAACGAAATTAGTACATGAAACAGACCATGATTTGAGAACTTTTGAAGTTAAAAGTTGTAAGTTTGGCTTAGCGATATTCCATTGACCATCTCGCACCGGAATTCTCAAATCATTTCTGAAAAAAAAAACACCCCGTTAGAGAATCCAAATAACGAGCAGTCCAAGCTCTTGATATCTTTGATGAAAGCTCAAGACATACTTGTACTCCACTACCGGCGGCGGAAGCACCCGAGCCTGGGCTTCAACGAACGTGCGACCGATCTTAATTCCATAGGCATTCAACCTAAAACCCGTCCAGATCAATCATCAATATCCTATCCAAAGCATCCCATCTACGCAGAGAATACTACAAAAGCTTCAGCGACAAACAGTCTCTCATGAGCGCTATCCATGACGTGTTGACGGGCAACCATGATCTGTTCGAAACGACCGGCGGGCCTGTTTTGTAATACACGAACATTTAAGAATTGTTAGACTGGATCAGTTTGGTACATATCTGCTTACTTAATCGTTTGGAATCGCAACGCCGATGATTGTTGGTCACCGGTGAGCTTTAAAATGTAACGTTGACCCTGGGTTATGAAGACGATCGGGAGAAAAATGCAGCGTGGTAAGCAAAATAGTTTTTCTTTTTTTTTTCTTCTAAAGACTGTAGAAAATGGATTAGGCTTACCTTTCGAATCGAGCATACCTCCATGGGATATACCTGACCAAAGATGTCATTTGATTAGGACGATTTTACTTTGATTCAATTCAATGATTCTCAATCAAGAAAAATCTATTCACCGTCTTCTTGCCCTTACCGATCGTCACCACGTTTGGTAATTCAGGAAAACGCAATCTTCTTCCCCAAGTTTTGAGGAAAAATGCCTACCGGTGATTGGAAATCTCAGCAAAGATATTTATTACCGGAATGTTATGAGAATCAATTTATTTATTTTTGAGTGTTCGTACCTCAACCGAGGTCTTTCCTTCATCAGTTTCGAAAATCTCACTCCGGGAATTAGTCAACGTAAGATGCTAGATTCGGGGGTCAAGAAGCCCAAGAATTGAGCGATTTGACTATTTGCATGGGTATACCAAGAGAGATGGAGAGAGAAAAGGCAACGAAACAACACGACCTACATCGATAGACTTAGTGATACCTTTATCAGATTCGCCTCTTATAATGTTGATCTTAAATCGTCTGAGGATTTTATGCAACTTGCGATAATCTTCCTCCTTCAAGCTGCACAATCGTTGCGGATGGACATTCAAGATCTTACAACAAAGATCGGCGAGAGTGTTGGCGGGATTGCCCTCCGGAGGGGCGTCCAAAAAGGTCGCGCAGGTCATGTCCATGGCTAAGAATAAGTTGTCCGGAGGCGCCTTCAAATTCGTGGTGTTTCCGATCCTCATGTGAGTGATATAACCGCCTACAAAAAAAAAAAAACGGGCCCAAAAACATCTTGGTGGTGGGTTCAGTCAAACGGCCGAAACACTGAAAAAGATTGGGTCTTTGTTGTTAAACGCACGTCTCAACAAGACTCCGGCACCAATATCCAAGGACGGCGCGGCATCGGGGAAGAAGGCCCTGGAGGTGGAGGGACAGTCTGCGGCCAACAGATAGCGGATGGCGACGTTTAAGGCTTGCATGGCCCGACGAGCCGTGCCCATCAAATTCCCTCTTTCGCCTTCGGACCTGTTCTGCATCGTCGGCCCCTGAGGCCCAAACACTAAATGAAATATATCTGAGGTTTTCCATTTCGGTCGTTCTACTTCCGTCAACTACATGCCGTCAGAAAATAAATCACCCTCCTCATCAATCAGCTTTCGTCGGTGACTTAGATATTTATTGGTGTAGCACTCAGTTAAAAGAGCTTCAACTGACAATGTACTTGAATTCTTCTTTTTCAGGCGGAAGCTTAAAGCTAGCCACACTGACCTAAAAAAACAAACAAACAAACAAGCGTGATAAAGATGAGCTTTAAAAACAATGACAATGAGGAGAAGGAAAACCCAATTGAAGCAGAATATAAGTTTTTCCACTCAACTGTACCCTCCAAGGGGTCAAGTTCTTTATGACTATAAACGGTCTTATCGCCATCAAAGACCGGGCCAAGACGATCGGGCGCGTCAGCGAACTTAGCATAGATATCCTTGAAGATGCGTTTCTTCATCGCAATGGGCGGACTGGTGCCCTTGGCAGAGAAGATTTCGACCTGTGTGTGTTTTGTTAATTAAGGTCCAAAGATCCAAAGATCAGATCACTAACTCTATGTAGAGCTTCCAAGAACTGAGCTCGTATGTCCAGTCTCTTCAATGATCTCTTACATTGTAGTGAAAAAAGTTATTGGTGGGGGACATCGAAATTTTGAACAGGTTTAACTGGACATTGATCAAGTTGCCATTAGTGCCCAGGCCATTAGCCGGACGGGTCATCGGAACCAAAGACATTTTATAAGTTTTTTTTTTTCTGGGGTTTTGGGTTTTTTGCGGTAAGCGGAAAAGGTGAACAAGATGGAAGTGAAAGGACTTGAGCACGATATAAAATAGTTGCTACGATTGGCTCTGCTGGTGTTTTGGCAAGGTCAGCTCAAAGAAAGAGCTCCTTTAAGTATCATCGCCTCTCGTCTACACCCAAATCAACCAGCAGACCACCGCCGATATCCCGATGTTTGCCCGCCAAAAGCACCCACGATACCCTTGGACACTCACCAGTCGCTGGCAATCACATCCTTCCAGTTGGGGAAGACGCCTGCCGACATACAAGCTTGCTTCAGCGACAGCAGCAACGCTGAATGGAGCATCCTGATTGGCCAGAAACCGACCTCAACACCTATATAACTTCCTCACCATGTCTCTATGACTTGTATCATCTCGGTATATCATCGAAGCTTTCGGCCAAGGGAAGGCCGAATCAAGCATCCTGATTGGCCAGAAAACGAACAGAAACAGCGTGCTTTCGTGGTGTTTCCAATGCATTGCATCCAGATATCAGCAAAAAAAGAAACGTTCTTTCCAAGAAGAAGAAGAAGAAGAAGATTGAGTTAGTTCTGAATGGTTCGTATATGAGGGAGCCGAGATATGATACGAAAAACAGGAAAAACTTTCCGAATCAATTGGATGTGGAGCAAGCACAGTTGAATTGATGTGTTGATCTGTTCAGTGTTGTGTGCCAGTGCGACCGATTGACTTCTAAAAGGCTCATATGTTGATATACGCCATACAAAAAATTTTGCTCGCCAAATAAATATGTGGTCAAAGCGAAGCATTCGAGGATCGATGGAGTGGGCCCAAATATTGGAGCTTATCTTTCAATATCGGCCAAGTCCAGTTGGGTTTCCCCTGGTTTCCCTGTATACTGTGGACATGGGACAGTGGATTCAAGATATGGCACACAGACTCGCCGGCTTCTCAGCGTCAATAAACTTATTTCATCATTCCTATTAACAGGGCTCTTAGTCCATCTGTATAGCTAGGTTTGCGGACCCTGCATATGAAGACGGATTCGTACTTGTCCTCGATATCGGGATGTAGGACTCGTATCCTTCATGAAAGTTGTGTTACTTAGTTTTCTCTGGTGTATACAAAGAAACGCGGCTAGAAATGAAAGCTTGTCAAGATACACACCTCAGTTGCATAAGAGGCAAGGCACGGAGAAAACTAAGAGTGGTTCCCTAACCGACACGGTTTGGGTAACTTCTTGCAGAGACGTGTGCAGTGTACTACCTGCCGCTCTTGCGCAAGTTACAGAAAATGACTAAAGCTGCTGCTTTGATGGACGGCGTGGTAGTCACACATGCAGTAAGTTTGTCCATAGCAAGATCAACAGACGGCATTAGATGACGGGAAAGACCGTGTTGTCGAGACATCTTACAGGCAGCTATAGTATCAACCTAAGACACACAAGGAGTCAGTTCTTCGAGGATCAAAGTGGAGGTCTTCCACTGTGGGTGTAGAAAGCCGGCTCGAACAAATCATGGGTGCATAATTTCATAGAGGAGGAGTAAAAGACACAGGAGGACATGGGCGAGTGGAGGGCGAAGAAAGTTGGGCAAGGTTGTTTCTTTGCTTCCTTCCTTAGTTGGCAGCATCCAGAATTGTTGAGTCACCAGCGTCCAAGCTAAATCATCAACAAAAACAAAAAATAAAATAGATCACACAGCAAAAAAAAAGAGTAGAAAAAGAAGAGTAGGGGAAAATCAACGCCAATCGAGGGACAAAGTCAGTTCGCGTTAGGTTCAGAATATTCAATAAAAAATAAAAAAATAAAATTGTGAGGGAGGATGGAAAACGGGATGACATACATAGTCAAGATTCCAACTCGAAATAGTTTTCCAGAGGCGGTACCAAGAGCGACGTTAGATCCCTGGTACAAGTGGACGGGAGTCTATTTAAATTGTTAAGCAATTTGTCCACAGATTAATAATTCTGCCTAGTATCCGGTTCAAGTATAATAAAAAGATTATGATAAGTTGCATACCTTGGACAACATGGCGTAGTATTCGATCTCCGATCGTCGAAGGGGAGGGGTGTTGCCGGAGATTAAGACCAATTTGGCTGTTTGAGATCAAGTTGAATTGCGAGGTAGGGGTTTTTTTTTGTTCGGTTAGGTGAAGGCGGAGGGAGGGGGTTCAAGTGATAAATCAGTTTCAGTCGGTATTTCAAGAGTTGGAATCAATTTGATTGGCGTGGAAGAGGGTGGAATGAAAATGTATCGAGTGTGATGCGGTGTTTCGTAGGACTGATGATAGCGCGGTGGATGGGTCTTGAGATAGCGATCCTGCGGTTGGGCATGAGCCGCCAATTTCGGTAATCGGTGGAAGCGGCGAAAAGAATGCTCTTTTGATGCAGTGAAGGGAGGAGACGGAGGGAGAGAGAAGACGAGACGAGACCGTACCTTTACCGCTTCGCATGCTCTTGAGGGTACTCTTATAACCGAGCAAGTACTTGCCACTCTTGATAGTCAGGGCGAGTCTCGAGTTGATGTTCTCGGCAGACTTTTTGACCTTCTTTGTTGGTGCCATCTTTTTCGTGAGCTCTTGAAGCGGAAGCTGAGGGTGAAGGGTCGTCCGGCCTGGCTGGGGTTGTCGATACTGAGGGCCGTGCTGTGGAGAGCCAAGGCCGGCCTGGCAGACACCCCGCCTCTCTCACTACTTCTGCTGCGGACCATCCCCGCAGCTCAACCGATACTTTCTTCGAGGCGCGCGAGCTGTTGCCCCCGTCTAGGGTTCATCCCCCCACCCCCGAGGAAGGAGGTAGGGTCCGAGTGCACCTGACTGCTCACACCGACATGGCTCATCGAGCGTCGTGATTTTAAAGCACACCAATCTTTGGCTCCAAAACCATATGCGAGGTATATTTATGTATACAGCTAATTTCAGAAAGGTTGTCGACCTTGGTGTGGATTTTCCTTCAAGAAAAAGTGCTGGATATACCAAATTCATAGGCAAACTCAAACTCAAACCGCGTTTTTGCAGTGAACTTACTGTTTTAGCGCAAGTTTGTAGATGGATTTGCAAACTTAACCTGAATATACCTTGATTTCTGCTTGGAAAATCCAGCTCAAGGTGACAATCTTTCTGAAACTAGCTGTAGCACATGGAGATAGGTTAGGTCCAGGAGTTGGTGGATAATTTGGGGCTAATTGCAATGTGGTTTTTAAATAAACCTTCTGAGTGTCATTGTTCATGAGGGAACCATCATTGGAATCCAAGACGCTCTTTGCCAACGACGATAAGCATTCACCCCGCATGGCAAAGGCCATCCAGGTGCCAGATGAACACTCTTCAGTCGCCATCTGTCTTTCTCCTTGGGTCCATGAAACTAAAGGATGACCAGATGAACACCAAACAGTTGATCACTGCCAACTGCCTTGTCCCTAGAGCAAACACATGGTGTAATCATGCTTCCCAAGTGTTTTTTGCACGGAGAATTCTAGTAAATCAGTTTCTTAACTGGAGTACTTCCCGTTGGAAGTCAATCTAAACCTGAAAATTCTTGATTCTTACAGAGAAATTTGAATTTTGAGGCTCTAAACCGGCTCTGGGAGACCCACAGATGTTGACGGGAACTTGTCCACTTTTGTGCAAAAAAATTAATAATGGAAAAACTTGATTATCCGAGGTTCCACTCAAATTTGCACTTTTTGCTCATGTAATAGCTTCTCAAGGCTTAGAGCTCAACTTTAATTCTTTTTTTTTTTGATGGGGCTTAAAAAACAACTCCTAAACATTAGTCAAAAACTCCCAAAAGTTGGCAGACCTTGCATGAGCCTCTGGCATACCACTCCCAGACCAACTCCAGACCAGAATCTTGGTCCTGAGAGTCGTTGGACCAATTTTGACTCCCAAAATGGGAGTTGGAATCCCATTTTTAAAGGGCCTGAATATAAAAACAGAACTTTTCCGCATTTAGATGCGGTTTGGCAGCACAGCGCACATGGTTTCCGCATTGGGACACATTTTTTTAATTAATTTTGGTGCTTGGCTAAACTGTTGTGACATGAGTTGAGGTCTTGACTGTGACACATGTCACAGACTTGTAGATAGTTTAAGATTGAGATTTTCCTTCCTATGAATGAAAATTATCATCTCTTTTGAGCTCACACTCTAAAATAAATGAGTCAGCTCCCAAGCCCCAGAATCCCCAAAATTTGGGAGTCCAACCCCATGCAAAACTTTTGGCTGGTTTGGGAGTCAACTTCCTAAAAAATATTTGAAAAAAGAAACCACTGGTTGGTTTGGGGGTCAATCCTCCAAAACTGACCAGGGTTCGGGGGTCAATGGAGTAACAGAACCCCATGGAAGCAGCCGGGAGGATTCCTCTTGGCCATCAAGAGTTAACACTCTGGCCATCAAGGTGGTTTCCCTTGGCTGTTGAGAGTGTATACCCTTGATGGCTGAGAGGAATCCTCTTTTCTATTGAGAGTGTATTGAATTGGGTTATTTCACAAAGCGTTTTCTATTTATTCTCCATTTTGAACCTATTTTTCCTTTTATAATCCCTCTTATGGTTCCCTGCCTTTATCCCTTATGTTTTTTTTTTTTTTCCTTTTTCTTTTTTTCTGAGTTTTTTCTTTCTCTTCAATGAATAAAATGATTTTTTCTTTGATATGGTACCTTTGGGGCTTGATCTCAACTTAAAAGGGAAGGGGGGTTTTAGAAGAATGACTCCCACATTTTTAATAAAAATCAAATCAACACTTATTGGGAAGTTGAGATGATGAATCCCATATTTGGCCTTCAAATTAGAGAAACAACTCCTGCTGATTGTTGGCCAACGGTGATGGGAGTTTTCCACTAATTTTTAGGAGTTGTTTTTCTAACCCCCTTTTCAATATTTCATAACTTTGAAGTATTGCTCATCTGAAGTTCAAAATCAATCCTTGAAAATTTGATGAGGAGATTGGCAACATGGTCTCATTTGGCCATTGTGACTCTGACCTGAAATAAATTTGAATTACACTCAGGGTTGCTAATCAAATAATCACTACACCAAAACATGTTGATAGCAACACACAAGCATGTGTGTATTAGGCACAAGTACTTCCTTCAGAGTGTTGTTTTGCAAGTGGTACCAGCCAGTCACCAGGCATGCAGAAGTGTGGGAATTTTTACAAGTAAGTGACAACTAATCAGCCTCAGAATTATAATTTATTGAAGAAATTCTTGAGTGAGAGACAGGAAAAGAGAGGTTGTTTTTGAAAGGAAACATCAAGGCACACCCTATTCTTGGAACTTCTTAAAGTGGAACTGGGATAAGAATTGAGAGAACCAAAGAGTTTGATTATCATGTGAAATCAGTTTTTTAAATAGACTACATACATGACAACCAAAATGTTGTTTGCATACTGAATATTCAGAATGCCACAATCACTCACAACAAATGAGAAAAAAGAAGAGGATATTCCAGAGTCATGAGTTGAAGAAAAAGAACTACTACTTAGGGTTCATGGACTGCAAAAGTATGATCAGTTGACAAAAAACATGCTGCTTAATAATATATTCTAGTCTCATGATAAAGTGATGAGGAAAAAGAGAACAATGAATAGAATAAATTGATACTTCTTAAATACATACCTGATGATTTGATGAGAAGAAAAATTAGCTATTGGAAATTCACATTAAAGAATTAAGATGATAGGGGGTCAGGAATAATTACTACAGTTATTCTTTGGAGTTGGGTTCTATTACAAATTTTTGATCAAATTCTCAATTTTAATTATTGAAAGGTTTCTTATAATCCGTAGCAGAATTTAAAGATTCCTTTAAATTTTTCTAACCAAGACATTTCAAAAATATATTAAAGTTACAAGCCAAAGCCTTATGAAAACAACTCATAACTGTTGGGAGCTGTACTTCCTGGCTTCTCTCTATCTCTGTGTATGGTCTTGCAAGCCAGTCTGGGCACAGGCCCAAGACCCGTGTGTCCAAGTGCCACCGGGGCTTGGGTGTGTGCCCAGGGGGCTTGGTTTGGCAGGTTTTGCGTGGATTGGTTCTTGGCACCAGCCCAAATCTGTCTTGGCCAAACCCAAGCTCTGAGTTCACCAGATCACCAACACCAACCACCCACCACCACACCCAACACCACCTTACCTCCATCATTATCTTTCCACTTGATTTTGTTTTCTCATAGTTTTCTCTAAGTCTGGGTAAGTATCAAAAAGAGTCATTCAATTCTGATTTATAGAACTTTGCTAGAAAATCATCTTTAGGCAACTGTAAATTCACATAAACCCTTGATACTGTAGTGCAGTTCTGCAAAGTTTGTCTGAGGTTTGCTTTCTGTCTTCCAGCTGAAGAGTTTACCAAGGGTTTGAGTCCATGGGAATTTTGATGCACCCAATAGTCATCAGTGTGCTTTGATTTTATTAAACAGACCATTAGAGCATTAAAACTTCATACCCAGTGTGGAACAGTGATGGATCAGATGTACTCAACGCTACCTCAAAAATATCTTATAGCTTGTATCTGCTGTGATGGTACAGGTTTGGTGTGCACTGCAGGTGGCACACTTGCTTGGGCTTGGCCAAGCATGGATTGGGCCCCACCCCCTCCAACTTTGGGAAGTGTCAAGCAAGGGTTGGGTTTAGAGGGTCCCACATGGGGTTTGGGAATGGCCAAGCCCGCATGGCCTCTTTTTTCCCAACTTGGGCCTGTGTCCAGACTGGCTTGCAAGGCCCTATATGTAAAGTCAAGGTTCTGAAAATATAATTATGGTGAGGAATCCTACAAGAAGATTTTAATTCAATAAAAAATTGAACTCTTGATGAGATCATATAACACAAGATTTCAATGATAGATACTTTGAGGTGGAACTCAATTTAGACTACTGCCATGCTCTTGGTCAATCTCCATGTAAAGCAAGGCTCATTACAAAGAAAAAAGAATAGTGGGAGAAAGGAAAGGGCCAGGTTACAATACTTAGGTTGTGAATTCATTGTCCCAAAATCAACAAAAATTCAGTGGTCTTCAGATAAACTAAATTCCACCAGAAATTCAGAAAGGATACCTAAGCTCAAACTAGTTGAGAGTGTGCAATTTCTGAACCGTTTTTCTATCCCATGTTGTACAGTGGGTAGACAGTGAAAAGTGGCTGCTTATTTTGGATGCAAGAGCTCCAAAACACAGAATTGAAGTCATGAGACTTGGTCAAGTGGTGCAGAATAGGTTCTAAAAAATGAACATGAAAAAGATGGTGTTGAATTCTCATTCTGGTGTGAGTTTTTGGGATTTATCTGAAGGCAATGTTTTGCTTTTTGAGGATCCATTTAGGCAAGATAAAGTGCATCAAGACCACTCCAAAGAGTTTTGCCTCCTTGAGGTCCATAAGCTGTTTTTTTGTGCTGTTCATTCAACTTTGGAAATCTCATGGGCAGGATCAGCATTCATCAATTTGTAGAGTTTTTTCAATGGTGTGCTGCTACAGGTGCTCTGCTACACTATACTTCAAATTATTACCAAAAAGTGTTAGCATAGCAGTTCTTTGTTTGCCCACAAATTTTCTCCAGTATTGTTTTTGAAGCTTGTGTGATTCAGTCAAAGTGAGGTTTGAATGCCTTATGACACTCCGCTAGGTAGCAAATATAGTGTTGAGCCCTTGATTACAGCAGATAAAGGATTAGAATTGTTGAGGATCCAATAACTTAAGCTAAAGGGCCAAAACATTGTGTTGTGATGCAATGGCCCAACCATTCACTCCAAACAATACCAGTTTTGCCCCTGGAAAAAATGACAATTTGGGTGGTGGAAAATAGATCAATTTCCCTGAGGCTTTTTTACAAAATGACGCAGGGAGTAAAAATTAGGCTAAAATGAGCTATTTTAGCCCAAAAATAAAAATGTCTCAAACATTCCAAAATTAATTTTTAGCTCATTTGAGGCATTTTTATTTTTTGGCTATAATGGAGGACTTCCCATTGTCTAAACTTGTAAATTTACAAGGAATGGCTAAACCTTATTGGCTGGTGAAAATTGTTCAACCTTGAGATTTTGCCAGCAAAGAAAGTTTAGCCGTTCCGTATAAATGAATCTGATCATTGGGAATTCCTCCAATAGCTCATTTTAGCCTAATTTTTACTCCTGAGTCATTTTGTAAAAAAGCCTCAGGGAAATTGATCTATTTTCCACAACCCAAATGGAAATTTTTTGCTGGCGAAAAACTGGTATTGTTTTTAGTGATTGGTCTTATGATATTTTCTCTTTACTATCTCTTTGTACTATTTTTATGTTTATAATATATATATATAGGGGCTTGGAAAAACAACTCCTAAATTTTAGGCAACAACTCCCATTTGGT